CTCAAGATGTCTGTGGGATTTTCCTGCGGCTGTTTACATTTTTTTACAAAAGCTAATTTAATATTATAAGGCTAATATAGGTACTGTGACTGTGTGAGACCCGTATGAAGCCTGTTCCAGCACTCATGTGACAACAGAAAACTGATGGTTCAACAGAAAATATCATATCAATATGACAACTCAAGTGAGGTCACTGAGTGCCAAGTATTCCCAGTTAACTTTTGTACATAAAACGATCGTGTTCAGCCGAGGAAAAATGATTTGTCAAAAGGTGAAATTGATTTGTTGAATATAGCAAATGATCCAAATTCAAAACCTTCCAAATGGGGTAGATATTATTTTTGGCCTACTAATTAGAATGCATAGCTAATTGTCAGCACTGTTTTATTCATGGATTGCTAGCTAATCAACTAGCTTGCTTGCTTCCATTTTGTATATATATATATATAGTGTATGTATATATATATATATATATATATATATATATATATATATATGTATGTATATTTTGTACTTAATTAACAATTTTTTATTTATCAACAGTAGCATCCTCAATTTATAATTAGGAGGGAGAATATGAGCATCTGTGATTTGGAAAGAGATTACCTTTTTCCTTTCATTATTTTTTGAACCCATAAAGAAAGTGTTTGATTAAAATCAAGAAAGTTACTTACAGAGGATGAAACGTTTCCTATTTATCCATGAAAGATATGGGAAAAGTGTCCTTATAATTCTTCGGTCAAAGCTGTTTCTAGTCTATGGCTCTGAAATGTGTTATAGTAACCTTTTACAGATGAAGGATATCTATTAGAAACCAAAAATTCTATACCGCACTTAAAATTATATAATAAATCATCTAATCCAATGACCATTAACTCATAATTAATCTTATTACATCAACTGCAAAATTATGTATCTCCGTAGTAGTTAAAGTTGGTATTTAACTTGCATGTTGTAATTTTTTGGTACCCAGTAGAAGCTGACCTCAGTGACTGACATACATGTGTATGTACAGCATATATATACACTGAATTCATGGAAACTACTTTGGTAATATATATATATATATATATATATATATATATATATATATATATATATATATATATATATATATATATATAGAGAGAAAATCAGAAAGACCTAATAATTACATAATATATATACACTTGGTTCAAGAATAATTTACCTTGGTGGGATCCAGTCCCCCCAGGCTGAATTAGTAGATCTATTCAACCATGCTCGGCAAGCATGAATAAGGTAATCATTCAGCCTATTTTTGCTAAATTTAAGCGTATTGGGTTGTGGAAAAAATTTAACTTGTAATGACTTAATTGAATGAAGAAAAGAAAAGAAAAACAACAATAGGAACAAAGTTTTGTGACACAAGATGAGATCCACTACATAAATCACATGGCATCGTCAAATGCGTTAAAAGCAAAGAGAGAAAAAGAAAGAGTGAAAGAAATTGGCTAGGTGCAAGAGAGAAATAACAAGGTTAATATAATATGGACTTACAGGAGTTGTACCACTGTTTGATGTGCAGAATGCAGTTTCTAGGCCAAGAACTGAGGGTTTCTGATGCAGTAATTTGAGGTTGTCCATGAAAACCATGACAAATAGTAGAAGAAGCCACCAAAGGAGGAATCCAAAGGGATAGCATGATCCCAAATATTGAGGAAGGAAGGGAAGGAAAAATTTATAAATCTGAGATTTGGGATCAATGCGATCCCTTTGGATGCCTCCTCCAGTTGCAGTGGAATATAATAGCCAAACTTCACCTTCTTAATTAATTCTTGAGTGTGTTTCATAAACTCTCTCCTTCTCTCTGAAGGCTTTGTGTTGAAGGAAAGTGGATGGAAGCGTTGAAGCGAAGGAGAGAGTTTGAAAGCAAAAGTGAGCAAGTGCTTATATTAACAACAAAAACTCTCTTTCCATCAATATTGTTTATTTTATTTCAAAATTTCCACGAATTGATTATATTTATGAAGATTTGCAGAATAATCTGAAAATGTTTTTCACGAAATTATGATATTTATTGAGTCGTAGACCCCATTCCATAAGAATCCAGACACCCCGAAAGAAAATTTACCCGACAATGGGTCAGCTATCCATTATTGGAAATTCTCTACAAGTTGGCTAGCAATATATATTACAATTTTATTCCCTGTCTTCGCGAAGAAAAGTAATTTTATTCTCTAAATTTTTCTTTTCTTCTTTAATTAAGTGAAAGTTTGTGGTCCAATCAATGTTCCCACTCACACACAACAAACTATAATAATACTTGGTTCTGAAGTATGCATTATAAAATATATGACATTATATGTACCCATGATTAAATATACTTTATCAATGATATGAATGATCATACATACGACTTAACAGAGACTAAATATATGCCTAAGAGGAGGATATTTGAAGAAATCCAAGTAATTGTCTAAATTGGTCAAAGATGCCTAATATAATGCATTACACTCAATTAATTAAATTACATTATACACCATGGCTGTACTTTTACATATTGCTAACCACTGTATAACTTAGTGGTGTATGTTCGTTCATCTTCTTTTAAAAAGTATTTGATGTCATGTTCCATTTCTAGTAAGTTCTAATGTCCACACTCAACCATCGTTTCTTACTTCAAAATCCTAAGATCTCACTTATAAAAACTAAAATAAAATAAAATTCTACTTATTAATTGAGTTTTTTCCTTTAATAGTACGCTATAGTGTAGGCTCAACTCCATATCATCTAGCCCACCAACAGTGCTCATGACAATTTTATCGATAATATTCGCCCTATTAAAATTATCTAATCAAAGATCATCAATAAATCATATCCGCTATTAAATTATTATTCAACCACTTGTATTCTCGTTATAAAAAATGTATTAGAATATCATATCAACTAAGAATATAATAGAATTATACTATATAAACGAAATTCAAATTTTAATTTACGATTTTGTAAAATTGAATTAAATATTTTTTTTAATATGATATCAGAATCGTAATTTTATTTATTGTTAAATAATAATAATGTTGGATTTTCTTAAAAAAAACTGTATATTAATAATTCATCACATAATTTTTAACCCAAAACATTTATTATACAATATGTTTATAGATTTTTACTCATGATATTGAGTAATTTTATTGGGAAAGTAGAGATAAAAGGGAGAAATAAGAAAAAGAAATAAATATTTGTGAAATTTGAGGGTTTGAATGGGCACCCAAAAGAGAAGCATTTGTTTGATTGCAATCGAATCTAGTAAAATTGCACATGGATAGGCACATTAAGCGGGTATTTTAGCTGTCTAGATCCTTTCATATCTTTTATTTTCTTTCTTTATATCTCATTTAAATCTTCTCCACATGATCACGGCTACTAATAGCTTCTACAAAAATTTATTTATTTTTTTCTTTAATAAACACCCTCATCGTACATGCTTGTCATATGTTCCTATCATTCGTAAAGTTTGAGGACTAAGTTTGTCTTCCTTTATTGTGCAAACGGTAAAATCAACCACTTCAACTTTATCAAAATCTTCACGTGAAACTGTCTTCTCACTTACCCATGTCTCTCACACAATTGTCAAAATTTTGTTTTCTCAAGCCTTTTGAGACAGCTTTTCAATTGTTGGACAAAATAACAACATTCACAAAATATATATTCTACTTATATATGATTTTTAAGTGCGCTTATTAGAATTAATCTCAATTAACTTACCTATTTTGATGATAAAACTGTCATGGTTATTAAAAAAAATGTTGTGATTGATAATGTTAGAAATAAATTACATGTTAAATGAAAACAAAATATATTAAGTATACTATATATTAGTGACAGTAACATGCAGAAAAAAAAAAGAGACAATAATCAATGCATATATGTTTAATGTCTTAAAGGTTTGAGTTTTTTAAGTAACTTCTTGATAATTTGAGGTAATAATATATCCATATAATTTGCCAAATGCAACATTAACTAAAATTTCTCAACTCAAAGGGTTTCTTAAGTGAATTGCATGATTTTAGATGTGCCATACCCTGTGAACAAACAAAAATATTACAAATTTCTTACTAATAAAGTTTTTATAATAAGAGTGAAATTCAAACTCACATCATATCAAATGGAAGTCCAATTCTTAGCTACTAAATGAATGTGGTGCACATGCGAAAAGAAAAACTTAATTTTTAACAATTCAGAAGTTTTAAAACACCTAAACAATTTACACAGCAAATGATGTCACTTTCTGAATTTTTGCTTTTGAAGGAATGCTCTTATCTGTACTAGAGAACTGAGTTTCGCAGGCAACTCATCATGCATTATATAACTAATTTGGCTAAACACAGCTACCACCACATGCATGTGAAAGTGGATCAGTAAGAGAAATGCAGATCTTGTGAAGCAATAGCAAATCCAAGATAGTGAACAATGCTGTGGAGGCCTAGCATCATTAATTAATCCACTCATTCATGTTCATTCACTCCCATCTTTTGGCCAGAAAGAGAATTAAACAAAAATGCTGGTATAGATTTCTGTGTTGCTAGTTATATAATTAACCCACAAAAGGTGATGCATCGTATTTATGATATATTCCAATGACTGATCAAATATAGACAGCTAGGTTTGAGCTATTAAAGGTGAATAAAACGGGAGAAAAGTGGGTAGGTACATGTTCATCCCTCAATCTATAGCTAGAGACTAATTGTTTTAGACGTAAAAATCATTAAAATAAAGTTCTGTCTCTTTTAATAAAATCTTTTTCATGCGCAGAGCTATAGTTAAGAGGATGGTGAAAAAACTGGGTTGTTTATGAAGTGTGTTAAATCTTGTTGGATAAACGTGACCATGTGTTAGATATAGAATGCATGGAGGGGTGTGCAGAAATTGGATGGATATAAAGAGCATGGTGATGAATGATGATATATAAATGGCGTGGTCCAGCCACTGTGCAGTGTAAATTGCATAAGAGTAGCCACGACAATACCATTAGTGGGATGACAGTACTGTCAATATTGGCCCTCTATAGGTGTGCTAGCTGCTCCATGCTGCCATTGGTGCTTCTTCAAGGTGGAAGCCCATGTGTGGAGGAACCTCTCATAATTGAACCTACTCAATCAAATTACTAAAATAAGCATCATTTTTCATTTTTTATTTTTATTTTCCTGTTTATGTTCCCATTTAACTACAGCTATTTTTTATTTTTTTTTTCTCTCACTCCATGTATTAAATGGTCTTTTCATTATCAAAGCAGTATAATTTTGGTTGAATTATTCAAAAAAATACCCCTTTTCATTCTTGTATGTTATTTTTAAACTAAAACTTAAAAACATACGAAAATAAGGAACCTTAATTATTAAAGGGTCGGAGACAATTGTGGTGAAAAGCAATGATTAGATATAGTTGTTTGTGACACCGTCTCAGCATTTGTGGTGCATTTTTGGGAGCTTCAAGGGAGCATTATTATCATCATCCTCCTGCTCTCATTCATTCCTCCAGTCTCGTGTCATATACATACATCTTTCTGCACCTTTATATCATATGCAACTTTCTGCTCTGCACAACTTTCTTTCCTACCATTCTCATGTTCTAACCTTTACCAATTCATTGTTTATATTTAAACTATAATTATTTTAAAAGCTCTCATTTTTACATTCAAAACACAATATAAACTTAATTATTTCATTTGGGAGTTTTTATTCCTCTTTTACCATGAAGGGAATTTAAGCTCATACTAGTAAAAGAAAGGCAAATCCACGTCAAATCTCTCACCACTTCTGTTTAAACTGTGAAGTCATGCAATTTTTTAATCATTAACAGTTTTAATGCGGGAGGGAGGTCTTGTTGGGCTTGGGTATGAGACGACTACGATAAGCCCAAAATGAGCTTATGTGGGACACATACTTGTGGGGTATTTACTTAAAAACCTTTAATTGAAGAGCATTTTTTTCTTTTAAAATGGATTGATTTACACTATGCTTTCCAGATGACTTTGCCAGGGTGGGTCAAAGCAGAAAATATGACGGACCCTTCATGTGTTTTTGGTAGATAAAATTTTGAAGAAAAATAAAATTGCAACGAAAATTAGTTATTAATATTTGAAGGAAGAATATTATTCTAGAAATAGTGTGATTCACAAATTCAAACTATCTTTCTCTCCGCATAATGTTGGAACTTTGAAGCGTGTGCGCATCAATGATTCACGTAACTTAACGTCTGTTTCTTTAATACTTCTTTGATGGAAACCAAGGTCAATTCAAACACAATAACAATCAGTTAAAAGTAGGTTCGATTTTAAAAAAAAAGTATTAATAATTAATTTTATTTTTTATTAAACATAAGTTAAAAAATTTGTTTAATAACTATAATTTTTTTTAAATGTTTTAATTAAAGAGAGCAATGTCAATGTTTGAGATCATCAACTGTATTATAATTTTGATAGGTAATTAACAATTTAGTCACGTTTATAAAATATAAATATTGAGGATAAGCTTGCTAAACAAGTAGAAAATCTAATTTTGCAAACATGAAAAACATAAGAAAATAAAAAAGTGTAAGATTTAAATATATCTTTTATTCTTGGAATGTAATCGCATTTTGTTTTAAATTTTAAATAAATATGTTGCGTGAGGGGAGACTGTTTCATGATCGTTGCAAAAAGGTTGAGAGCACTACTTTATATCTATTAATATTATCCTCTTTTATATGAAAATGGTCCTTTCACTATATTATTAAATTTATTAATTTCACCTAAAAGCTATAACAACGGTATATCCTAATGTTAATTATCAATCAATTGTTTTCGTGTTCAATTGTTCGGTTTCGTGTATATTTATATATACTTGTTAAGAAAGATGTTGTAAGTAAATTAATACAAATGCTGACTACATTTTTAGATTAGTGCATTTTAAAATGTTTCTTTAACATTCTGACAAAAGTTCTTCAAATAATTAAAGAAGTTATCAATAATTTAAATCTTGTTTTTTTATTCATAACATTAATTAAACAGTTATTTAATCCTTGAGACAAAGTATGCTCTCATATAATTCATAACATATAATAAAATCAAGGGTCAGATTTTAAGGGTTGAAGCTTTTTCTCTAATAATAAAACTCAAATTAATTAAAAATGACCAAATAAGTTAATCTAATATATTTAGGTCCATCCGTTAATTAATATTTTTAAAATTTAAATAACATAATAAACAAATTTGTAACTTTTTAAAAATTATAATTTTATTATTTTTAACTTTAATACAAAATTCTAAAAAAAATCTGGCGGATTGGTTGGTCCCGCTTGGTAGAACGAGTCAGAGGGATGGACACGCTTCGAAGACTATCTCCCCTCCCACCAAATTCATACATCTGAACTAAGGACAACAAATATTAAATTATTCTGTTATCATCAAATAATTTAAATTTAATCATCATTATATATTTTTACTTTTAAATAATACAATATAAGAAATTATAATTATTTTATTTTTATTTTAATTAATTATTTTAACTTAAAAAAAGTAAGAGGATCAAGCTATGACAAATAAACTAAACGGATGAAAACACTACTACAAAATATACTTTCTACGTCGTTATTTAACGTCGGTTATAGACTGAGACGACGCAGAAAGTACTTTCTACGTCGGTTCCCAAATGAACCGATGTTGAAATTGAATATTAAACACATTCTACATCGGTTCTTAGTCAACCGACGTAGAAAGTATTTTCAACGTCGGTTCCATATGAGCCGAGCGTTGAAAGTCTTTTTTATTATTTTTTTTACTTATTTACACTTTCCACGTCGGTTCAGGGAACAACCGACGTGGAAAGTCCTTTTTTTTTTTCAGCCAAAAACTCACTTAAATTTGAAAATTGTCATCGGTAAAATTCGAACCCGAGTACTTTAGAATTGGAAGCTGATACTCCAACCACTAAACTACTAGAATTTTTTATAATAATTTACAAATAAATTATATTTATATACAAATAAATATATATCCATGTAAATATATATTTATTTGTATATATTTTCTAGAAAGTATTTTTATTTTTTTTCGACCAAAAATTCTCTTAAGTTAATGAATTGTCACTTATAGCATTTGAACTCAGTATTTTAGGGTTGAAAGTTAATATCCCAACCACTAAACTACTATAATTTTTTGATAATAACTTACAAATAAATTATATTGGTATTTTTCGATTGAGGGTGAAAGTGTGATTGACTCTTGCTTGAGTGAAAATATGTTAAAGCTCACGGAAATTCACTCACTCAAGTCTCGCTTGAGCGAAAATTGGTATTTTTTGCTTGAGAGCAAATAACGCGTTTCCCAAATTTATTTTATATCATTATATAAATAAAATTATAAAGATTATATTACTGTCATTAAATTACAAACTCATATAAAGATACCTGCTCACAAATTTAGCATCAAATTTTGAAAACCCACTCGACACACACTTTCACTTTCGAGTGTGCCCTCACATCCAACATATAAATATATAACTATATAAATATATATCAAAATATATAAATATATTTGTATTTATATATTTACACGGATATATATTTATTTGTATATAAATATAATTTATTTGTAAGTTATTATCGGAAAATTCAAGTAGTTTAGTGGTTGGAGTATCAGCCTCCAACTCTAAAGATCTTGGGTTCGAATCCTGCCAATGACAATTCTCTTAAAAAATTAAAAAACTTCTAAAAAATATAATATAAAGAGATGGAGGACCTAATAAAAATATAATATAATATAAAGAGATGGAGGACCTAATAAAAATATAATATAAAGAGAGGGAGACTTCTAGATAAATAAAAGGGGGTAAAGGGGTTGTAAATAAATAAAAATTATTAATTTAAAAAATCATACTTTCAACGTCGGTTTATTAGAACCGAAGTTACGACTCTCAACGTCGCTCGATACAACGTCTTATTTGTAGTAGTGAAACATAGTAAAAATACAACTCTTATTATCACACTTAACTTGTTTGTCATTCTTAACATAAATATTTCTCTAATTAAAAATTTTGATTTGTCTCTTACTTTAATTAATTGATGTCTCATTATTAGTTCAACATAGATAATAATAGCCTAAAAAGTAAAAAAGTCGATAATATAATCACATTAGCCACTTAAAAATTAAAGTAGGCTTCCTTCGACATTCTCTTTTTCATTGTTTGTGTGAAAAATTTGTCATTATTTTTTTGAATCCTTTTCCATTTTACAAATCACATTCTGTTGCATTTTTCAATTCAGATATTTTTTGTTTTTTTATGTAAGGTGAACAAGATTTTGTAAAGAATTTTCAACTATTCAACAATTTGTATTCTCAAATTGTTCAACAGAACAGAAATTCAGTTTAAAACAAAATATACAAGTGCATCATAGCTTCGTATTCTTACATTCGATAATATCTTCCATATAATTTTCAGAGAAGATATCTGATTATATAATAAAGAATTCAGAAAAGTATCGGGAGGAGAATGTTCAGATAGGAATAAGAGAGATTCAGAATAAAAATTACCTCACACACTAATTCCGCTGAAATCCCTTGAGCTTAATACTGGTTTTCTTCATACGTGAGCCTCGCCTTCTTTCCATTAAACTCTAATAATTTGCCACGTGTTCTGAAGGCGTACCAAACTTTCTCGCCATAAGCTCCATTTTATTTTTGCATGTTACATTGCACTTTCCATTGAAAACAACCTTGTCCTCAAGGTTGAGATGAGGATAAGAAAACTGTAACTCCTGAAGATCCTCAAAGTAGCATCATCAACTTCAGATAACTCCCAACGTACCAGAACTTCAGGAACTTCACTTCCAACTCTATGAACAATTCACTTATCAAGAATCTCCATAGGCTGAACCAATGGACCAAACTCATTGGAACTTAATGGTAAGGGAACATAAGGTGTCTGAGAAGCACCATAAAAAGGTTTGAGTAATGAAATGTGAAAAATCGAGTGAATGCGAGCAGTAATAGGAAGTTATAATTCATACGCAGCGGTTCCAATCTTCCTAATCACCTTAAAGGGACCAAAATAATGTAAACTCAACTTCTGATTTTTTTTTTTTTAATAACTGAATGATGTCCATAAGGTTGCAACTTGACTAAAACCAAATCACCCACTTGTAGCTGCAAATCTCTCCTTTTTTTGTCTGCCTACTGCCTCATATATAGTTGAGCCTTTAACAAATTATCTTTTAAGCGCCCTAATAACTGGTCTCTTTCTTTCAAAGATTCCTGTAAATCCATTGGATCAGAAGGGTCAAGCTCATAACGAACCACCTTAGGAGGATGTCTCCCAAAAACTGCTTGAAAGGGAGTCATACCAATGTTATGATGAAAAGAGGTGTTATACCAGAATTGTGCCCACGAAAGCATGAACATCCATTTTTTTGGATTATAAAAAACAAAACACGTCAAATACATTTCTAGAATTTTATTCAAATTTTCAGTTTGACCATCTGATTGAGGATGGTAGGAGGAGGTCATTGCTAGTACCCTGAGCTTTGAACAAATTATGCCAAAATGCAGCTATGAAAACATGATTTCTGTCTGAAACAATTGTTTTAGGCATGTCATGCACCTTAACAATATTGAAAATGAAAACATCAGCCACTACCTTACTAGTAAAGCCACTCTTCAAGGGTATAAAGTATCCAAATTTAGACAATCGATCAATCACCACAAAAATAGTAGAATATCCTTGAGACAAAGGTAATGCCATAATGAAATCCACAGTTAAGTCCTCCCAAATCTGTTGAGGAATTGGTAATGGTTGTAACAATCCGGTAGGTAACATATGATTAACCTTTGCTTGTTGACAAATGACACATTCTTTAACAAACCGTATGATATCTTGCCGCATGCTTGTCCAATGAAATTGTGAAGCAATTTTTGCAATTGTTTTATTAATGCCAGCATGACCACCCATTTTGGAAGCATGAAACTCCTACATAATCTGATGTAACAGCTCTGGATTAGTAGGCAACAAAATTTTATTTCGAAAGAAAAGTAGGCCTTATTGAATAGTATAATCAGAAGATGGTGGTGTCCCTATAAGGCAAGACTTATAAAACTTAGCTAACTTTTCATCCTCTTGAATAAGAGTGGTCACTTTTTCCACCCAAGCAGGTACAGGGCTAGAAATAGCCATCAAAAAACTTCTGGACAATGTATCAACAGGTATGTTCTCCTTCTTAGGCCTGTATTGAATAGTGAAATCATAACCAAGAAACTTGGGTAACCATTGTTGTTGCTCAAGGGTTTGCAATTTCTGATCAAGTAACTCTTTCAAACTTCTTTGAATAGTTTTAATAACAAATTTATGCCCAAGGAGGTAATGTTGAAATTTAGCTATAGCTTTAGTAATAGCAAAGAATTCTCTATATAGGCAAATTGTTTCTGCATCCTAGGCGATAATTTCTTTGAAAAGTAGGTAATAGGATGACCATTTTGGCTCAAGACAACACCGATTCCACTTCCTGAAACATCAATCTCTTAAAGTGAAAGGTATTTGAAAATTGAGAATAGCTAAGACAGGAGCAGAAGTCATAACCTCCTTCAATTTCTGAAAAACACTCGTAACAGAACTATTCCACTTAAAAGAATCCTTCTTCAATAGATCCGTAAGAGGTGCTGCTATATGGGCATAAGATTGAACAAACCTCCTATAATAACTGGTGAGGCTAAGAAATCCCCTCAGCTGCTTCAAATTAGTAGGTTTTGGCCAATTTTTAACAGCCTCCAACTTGCTCATATCCATAGATACTTTATCACCAAATAATGTATGACCCAAATATTCAATCTTTGTTACACCAAAACAACATTTAGATAATCTAGCATAGCGTTTATGATGTTGAAGAAGATTCAGCACAACCTCCAAATGATGTAAATGATCCTTCCAATTAAAGTTATAGATTAAGATATCATCAAAAAAATACTAAAACAAATCTGCGAAGTAATCCAGCAAAAATATCATTCATCAAGCTTTGAAAAGTGACTAGAGCATTTGTTAAACCAAAGGGCATCACCACCCGTTCACAATGGCCATGATGAGTCCTAAAAACAGTTTTACACCTATCTTCTGATTTAACCAAAATCTGGTGATATCCGGATCGTAAATCCAACTTGGAAAAATAAGATGCACCATACAATTCATCAATAAACTCATCAATAGTAGGTATAGGGAAAGTATCCTTAATGGTTATAACATTCAAAGCTCTATAATCTGTACAAACTCTCCAGGAACCATCCTTCTTTTTTACCAAAATAATTGGTGAAGAAAAAGGACTTTTACTGGGCTGAATAAGCCCCTCATCAATCAATCCAACCACTAACCTTTCAATTTCCTCCTTCTGGCTATGAGGATACCTATATGACTTGACTTTAACAGGATGGGATCCTTCTATCAAAGGAATGGAATGATCATAAGACCATTGAGGAGGAAGACTCGTAGGAGTAGAGAACATTTCACTATAACTTTGTAATAACAAAGCTAGTTCAGGCTCCATGTCAACTGGAAGATTAGGGAAGAAGAAACTGAAGTCTTCATCATCACTTGCATGCTATAAATTTCAGCAATAACATCAGTAGAAATCATTCTTCGAATGTGATGTAACTGAGCATGAGCAGGATCGCAATTCTGATCCCCTTGCAATGTAGTAAACTTACCATCTAACAAAAATTTCAATTGAAGATTCTCATAATCAACAATATGGACCAATAGTCTTTAACCAACTAGCCCCAAGAATCAAGTCAGCTCCAAAGATAGGCAATAAGAACACTGGTAAATGGAACATATTACCCTGAGCTTGTACTCTCAATTTTTTAACTAATCCTTTAATCGTCATATAATTGCCATTACCAACCATCACTTTGAACTTAGTAGCTTGTTCAATAGACAACTTTAAAAACTTAGCAATGCGAGGTTAGAGAAAACTATCAGAGTTGCCACCATCAATTAATACTGTCACAGGAAGTTTGTCCACATAAGCCAAAAATCAAATGGTACCAATATCACTGCCTCCCTTCAAGGCGTTTAAAGAAAGATGATGGTCATTATGACTAAGTGGATTAGTGACATGAATATCAGGAGGTAATGACTCACCAGGGTCAACAACCTCTTCCTCTCCTAATTGTAACAACAACAACTGCTTATTAAGACATCAATGATTAATTGTAAATTTATCATTGTAAAAATAACAAAGGTATTTCTCCCTTTGCAATTGCATCTCTGCAGGACTGATACGTTTCACATTTGAAGTTTTCAACGGTGGACCCGGTGGTGTAGGCAATAGAGGTGGAAGTTGTGTCTTAGTAACAGTTTTTACTGGAGTAGTATTTTTTGTATTAGAGGTCAACTAAGAATAGCGTTGAACATGATGACTTCTGTTAATCTGAACAACATGATTATATTTCTCTTCATACAATTTCGCTAAAGCAATCGCTCTCAACAAAGTAGAATGAGTCATAGCAATCACGTCACGTCGAATATCTGGATCTAAACCACTGATGAAACAATTAAGAAATGCCTCCTCCTCTGAAAGACCAAAGGAATGATTTGCAAGAGACATAAATTGCAAATAATACTCAGAAACAAAACCTGTTTGTTGCAATTTGAAAAGCTAAGTCATAGGATTGTCAAATGGTGAAGGTCCAAACTGAGATTCCAGAGCCTTAGTCAATTCTGACCAAGTAGACACCACAATTAACTTCTGTAACATCTGAAATCATGGAACAACATCTTTGTCAAAATGCATAGTAGCTATATCAACACGCAAAACATCTGGAATATTGTGATATGAAAAGAATTTCTCCGCCTTAAAATTCCATTCCAGTACCGGAGTAGAAACATCAAAATGGAGAAATCCAAGAGAAATGTCTTTCATTAGTGGAACAACATTCACTAATGGTGGAACAACCTTCAATGAATTCGAAACATCATTGTGCTGAACACTATTTGCAATTAACCAATCTATTGATTGTTGCATTAAATCTAAGTGATCTTGTTGTGATTTTTGAAACTGAGCTTGGAAGTCGTGTTGAATCTGATTGCGTATAATTTGACCATTTATCCCGCTCGTAAGAGCAGTAATTTGGTCTTGCAGTGTTTTGAGACGAGTATCAGCCATTGATATCAATGAAAATACCAATGTAACGTGAACAATATTTTGTAAAGAATTTTCAACCGTAGGAGACAATAATTTGCATTCTCAAATCGTTCAATAGAGAAGAAATTCAGTTTAAAACAAAATACACAAATGACTTTATAACTTCATATTCTTATATATGATAATATCTTCCATATAATTTGCAGAAAAAACACCTGAAGTATGTATATAATAAAGAATTCAGAAAAGTATCAAGAGGAAAATATTTATATAAAAATAAGAGAGATTTAAAATAAAGATTACCTCATTTACTAATTTCGTTAGAATCTCTTGAACTTAGAAACAAATTTCCCCGCCATAACCTCCTCTTTATTTTTATTTTTTGCATGTTACAGTTTGGTTTCATCCAATCCAATCAAATGAGACCCATGCATCTTCTTCTGACGCAGCCACGATTACAGCTTCCAAAAATTAATATCTTGTCATCGCTATATTGAAATTGCAATGTTATTTTCTTATAATAAGAAGAAAAGACCTCACCATATTTTTCTTTTATATAACTTAAAATAACTTGTTATAAATGCTTACAACACAAAAGCTGAATGGATAAGCCATGGCCTAATGAACAAGGCTAACCAAACATTTAGGACAATTGAAAGAGACGCTAACAAGTTAGTATTTCCTTTACTCAACTAGCTACCAACAATTATTGAGCAATTCTCACGCTCCTAACCTCGTCACTACCCTAACATAAAATGCCTTTCATCACTAGTTGTCATCACCGAATCCCATCTTCATCTGTCATAATTGTCATCACCAAGCTACAGGCAAAGAAAAGACACCATTCAACTATTCCAAGTAAAAAATTCATGGCAAGAAGCTACATGTATCTTTCATCCCAATAAAGTAATAACCAATAGCAACAACATCACTTCAAATCCTGCCTCACGAACATTTCATACTCCAACACCAATACCCAGCCACTGGCATCAATAAAGGTTTGTGATAAACTTACAATATCATATTATTTTAAAAGACTAGGTTAGTGGCATATTTTTTATTTCAAAATATCTTCCCCATTTCTTCTGTTCTTTCTTTTTTTTTGTCTCTTTGAACGGTAAATTATTTAAAAATAATATAATTAAATTAACTCATAGAAAATGTCAGTAAAAAGTGAAACTTTCAAACTAATATAGTTATCGAAAAAGGACAGAATGGAAGGGTATTTTCCCGTTTTCCTATTTAGATTTTGTGAAGAGAAGAAAAATACGTGTATCTGTATAATTTATTTTAATTAATTTTGTATGATAACGACGTAGGAAAGAAAGAAAAAAAAAAAAGCAGAGTGCGAGAGTACGTACAAGTAGGAGGAAGGGAGATGATTTTATAAAATTTGAAAAGCTAAAGGAGTTGCGATTGACGAGGGGAGGGTACAGTTGTGGGACCCACCAAACTCCACTACCGAACTACAACCTTAGAATCAGACCCTGTGTTCTACTTCCCACACACCGGACCGCACACTTGTGTTGTCTTGTCTCAAACAAATTGAGTGACAGTACAGTTTTTATGACTACTAGTACTGGAGCTCTAAGGAAGGTTTAGATTCAGATTTGTCTATTTTTAAATTGAAAATAAAGATTCACGCTGGCGGTGGAGAACGTTTCTGCGGCGGCCGCGGAGGAGCAGCTTGACGTCACGCTGATTTCCGACGTTGAAAACCTCGCGGATGTTGAAATCCCCGACACCGCGCATCAAGTTAGTACTGGTGCGTTCCTTCTTCTTAGTTACACGTTGTTTGCTGCAACTGAATTGGGAATTTACAAGAATGAATGAATGAATAATTGGAGTCGTAAATTGGGGAATATTCGCAGATTCATGGTTTCAGGTGGGGTTTGTGCTCACTACGGGCATCAACAGCGCGTATGTGCTTGGATATTCAGGGACCATCATGGTGCCCCTGGGTTGGGCATGGGGTGTAACCGGTTTGATTCTCGCCACTGCGATTTCGCTCTACGCGAATGCTCTTATTGCTAGGCTTCATGAATTTGGAGGAACAAGACATATTCGATACAGAGATCTTGCTGGATTTATATATGGTATTTTTCTATCTATCTGGCCTAAATAAATATATAAATAAGAAAATATGCTTATGCTTTTAGTTATCATCTCTCACTTCTTTTCTCATTGCAGGTAGAAAAGCTTATTCTCTCACATGGGCTCTGCAGTATGTCAATCTTTTCATGATAAATGTCGGCTACATCATTTTGGCTGGTTCGGCTTTGAAGGTAATAACACCACTTGTGTTTCTTCGACCATGTTGAGACACCACTTTGTTGAATTTTAGGTTAATTTTACGTGTTTATTTGTAAGTTTGTAATTGATTCTCCGAAAGTTGAAGTAAGTTTTGGTAATTATTATATTTGATAGAAAAGTTTATACTCGAATCAAATTGGAGAAACTTAGGAATTTATTTAAATGAACACTAAATGTTGTTACTGGTTTTTATAATAAAACATTTCATATAAATCACAGTCCATACATACCGTAATGAACAAAGTGTATTATTGATGCAATCATAATTTTATTCTTCTTTTCAGTCATTTTCCTTTTTCTTTTGATGCACAACGTAACAATTTTGAAATCTTTATATCAACTGTTCATTAGTCATTAGTGACATTTCATTTTTCTGTTTCTCAAGAAGCCTGCTAAAAAATTTATTTAATGATACTTCGACTGCTTCATTTATTGTCAATTCTTCTCTAGCTGCGTGATGTTGATTGCATTAATATGTTTGTGGATCAGAAAAAGTCATGTAGAAATTGTTTAGTGTTTTTTAGAATATTTCTGAATCTTGTTTGTTCATTGTGGTGCAGGCTGCTTATGTTCTATTTAGGGATGATGATGGGATGAAGCTTCCACATTTTATTGTCATATCTGGAATTGTTTGTGCAATATTTGCCATTTGTATTCCCCATCTATCGGCTCTTGGAATTTGGCTGGGATTTTCAACTGTCTTCAGCCTAGTGTATATTGTTATAGCATTTGTACTGTCAGTTAAAGATGGTAATCTCTCATTCTGTTAACTGTCTGTGCAGGTGTACTTTTATCATTTGCTCTTCATTTTATACCACTTCTTCTTCAAATCAATTGTCCTCGTTGATACATTTTTTCTTCCGTGAAGTTCACAATTTCTATCAACATGTTCAATGACCTCTAAACATTTTCATTAGAGAAAGGTGCAAGACTGATGCTTGGTTTTCTGTTTCCAGTCCTCTTGTAACAAGTTTTTCTCCAAGACACGATCATGTCATTAGGACTGATAATTAACAGTGTTATCTGAAGTAGAGATAACTAGTGTTGTAGCATACAACATCTTACATTCCTGTTTAAATCTTGAGTTAATTCGTTGAGTTTTTTTATTCTGTCATCCCTAATCTCATTATCTTTGCCTGTTTCTTCTTTTCATTCTCTGTTTGTGCTTATCAATGAATATAACGTCCCTCATTTGTGATTTTGGTCTGCTGCTGTATTCTATCGGCAGTCAATTGTTTTGTTGATAAAGGATATATATACATCTAAAAATGCCATATTTTTGATGTAATTTTTCAGCTTATGTCTAGTATTATGATATAGATGGTGAGGCTTTTTGAGGAATTTGCAACCCTCATTGTTCATTTATCTTTCTATATCCACCACTTGATGTGTCTCAATGCAAGTCAAAAGGTATTTTTTTTTTGTCTAGATTAGAGTACCTCTACATAATCATATTCATGTTCGAGCTGGAAACATCTACAGCATGGTGGGGTTAACCCTCTTAGAGGAGTTTTTCTTCTTTTCCTTACCCAAGATTCAAACCTACGACCCTCTTAAGGGAAAACAAGTACATATCATTTGAACGAACCAACTGGATTTAAAAAGAATTCTTTGAGAACTAGCAAAAGGATACAATTTGTTCTTAAAATAATAATATATAGACCTGCTCTTTCATTTATATACCAGAATATAGTTCAAAGTTCGAATCATCTTACAGAATATTCACTATAAAATGAATCTATGTTTTCATCCCATTTCATCTTCCACCTTGTTTTCAAGATTTCAATTAGGCTAAAGCATTGTCCTGAGTTTTCCTCATGGGTGACTTTACAACGATTGAGAATCACAATGTTTTTCAGAACAATTGATTTTCTCTGTTTAGGTTTATAAGTTATTTTATATTTTTCCTTAGCTTAATGAATTTGGTCGGAATTTGCATATTAACCTCCTTCCTTGCATCAATAGGTATAAAATCAGCACCTCGTGATTATAGTATTCCGGGGACATCAACAAGTAAAATATTCACAACAATTGGGGCATCTGCTAATCTTGTGTTTGCATATAATACGGGAATGCTTCCTGAGATACAGGTAACATGCAAGCTTAATACCTATTGAATTTTTGAGTTTTGTGTGGATTGATATCCCTATCGAAAGTGAGTTTTATTGGGTTGTAAACCTCACAGGCAACCATCAGACAGCCAGTTGTCAAGAACATGATGAAAGCCCTGTACTTTCAGTTTACCGTTGGAGTTCTGCCGTTATATATGGTGACCTTCGCAGGGTACTGGGCTTATGGATCTTCAACACCAACCTACTTGATGGGTGGTGTAAATGGTCCAGCTTGGGCTAAGGCCATGGCCAATATTGCAGCCTTTCTTCAATCAGTCATTGCATTGCATGTAGTAACTTCTAAACTGCAATTTCGGTGCTACTAAATATTTTATTTAAATTGTATCACTGGGCTAATAACCCCTGTTCTGCTTTTGATAGATATTTGCGAGTCCAATGTATGAGTATTTGGATACCAGACATGGGATCAAAGGGAGTGCCTTGTCTTTTAAGAACCTGTCATTTCGAATCCTTGTAAGAGGTGGGTACCTGACCATAAACACGTTCGTAGCAGCTCTGTTACCATTTCTTGGAGATTTCATGAGCCTTACAGGAGCCATCAGCACATTTCCCCTTACATTTATCCTTGCAAACCACATGTACCTAGTGGCATATAAGAACAAACTAACGTCCATCCAAAAGCTCTGGCATTGGATCAATATTTGTTTCTTTGGCATCATATCTGCTGCGGCAACTATTGCAGCCATGCGGCTTATTGCTGTAGACTCCAAAACGTACCATGCTTTTGCAGATTTATGATTAAATGCATTATATTCTTTCAGTAATTCTAATTACAGAGGTTGTGCTTCAAATATGCTTTCGTTAAAAACAACTACTTTGCATATCTCAATGTGTACGAGTAAAAAACGTGCCAGTGGTTGTCAAAATCTGAAAGTAGTATTCAATGTTGTATTTATTTGCTATTAACACATTACCAAACAAGCTCTTGGGTATTATTAACTCTTTCCAGAATAATTTGCTTACAAATCAATTATCACCAGAAAATTTTATAATTCTATGCTTAGTTATCATAAAACAACTTTCTTTTGTTTCGTAAGGAAGAATTACTTCGACAAATATTTATATTATCTTTTACCAAACATGAAAAATCTTTTATTCAAACCAGTAGTCCAAAAGTGTCTGCATTTATGATTACTTCATTAATTTTTTTCCCCTTTTAAAACGTATCTCACATAACATTCTCTTTATATTTGATAAAAAGAAATAATATTATATTACAAGAAGCAGTATATAAAAAACAGCTGTAGACACAAAAATCTCCCTTATATATATTATTATCTTTCTATATACGTTGCTTTGTAATTATTTAAAAAAATACTTTATAGTAAAATAAACGTATTTCTATTCTTTTATGTATTTATCTAGACTATTTACTTTAAAAATAAATGACTTTGTTTTTTTTAAGAAGTTAAATATTGTTTACTTCTTAACTATATAATTAAAAAAATATTTATTTTAGAAATAATTAAGTTTAAACAAAGATGACTTATTATGAAAAATCTTATCAACTAGCAATACTAGTTAAATATATTACATACATCTTATTAACCTTTTCTTTCAATATGCACCGAAAATACTTCCCAATTCAAATTCTTTTAAGATATCGAAAACGCTAAATAGTAGCTTACTTTCACACAAAACCCTTCTCTTCAATGTGGAGTTTAAACTATTTAAATAAAGAAACACATAAGTACTTATGTTATTTTTATATTTTGTTATTTCTCAATAGCATTTGTTTATTTTTGTTTAGTTGACCAGTTACATATTTACGCATTGTTAATATACCTTGAACTTCCACTTAACCAATTTGTGGTGAAATTTATTTTTCGCGAAATTTACTTGGACAGTATCAGTTCGGACACATCCTATCATGAAAGAAGCACTTAAAAACAATCTGAATTTACACAAGGAAAATTTGCAGAGGGTAATCAATTCTTAAAAAATGAATACAACACCCGCCCAACTACAATATCGAAACCACTATGAACTCGTTTTCCGACTCGTTATGTGACTATGGCAAACTTGATTTACGACAATAAATATCCCAAAAACGGACACTTTTAATGTATATTTCTACGATAGAATTTGACATTTTTTTTGGGTAGTAACAATTGTCCAATTTTCCTATCTTGGAACATTTGAAATAATCTGCTAATAATTCCTGAACCTGCCATCATTAAGAAACAGAATTAATGTTAAATGTCATGATTCAATATACCCCACGGCTTCATAATAAGAAAATAATCAACCATATTCTTCTGTGTGCATATAAGATAAAGGACGTAGGAGACAAAAGTGCTTAGCTATATGTTAAGGAAACGAAAAGGTTTGCTCACCACACTAGCTGTGCATCTTGGTATAAACTATTTTTTAAATAAAAAATTATCCGTTTTAAAAAACTCTCCCGAAAGTAACAAAATAAATTGAATCAAGCATACAATTAAAATTATTGACTTCAGAATCAACCAAGTTAAGTTTTAAACTATCCGTTTTGGCTTAGTCTGATTTACATTCCATAACTTAAAGACCACATTTCAGCAGTTATTTCATGCTATTTTTAAACAATTAGAATGAAGGAGGACAAAAAAAAAAAAAACTACTCACGACCCAATTAGCAAACTAAGCTCACAATCTATAACTAAATTCAGTACATATATATTGTGTACATGCGTTGTTCTGCAATATCCGTCAGAATGCTTCAAGCATTACGTTTAGAAAAATACTGCTTGTCTGAAATGTCAGCATATAACTTACTTTAATATGATTTGTTTATTAATAAAACATAAGATTTAAGAAATGCTCAAGCACTCCCATAAACAACAGATATTTGTTATAATTTAATTAAAAATTAGCATCTACTAGTAATAACAATGATTATACCTTAGATGCATGTCTAAAACAGGTAAATGTATTGACATCTCACCTTGCTAGCATCATCCAGAAACTAATTTGACGATAATGAAGATAGAATTCAGAAGTATGAGCGGCAATCTTAGGTACTGTGTTGCATAAATGAGACCTAAAACCTGGCCTTTGAAAGACTTGGTCTGGCCAGCTGAAAAATCTGATAAGCCCAATCCTCTTGGTGAAAGAAAGCGGTCCTCATTTAGTATTGCTAGTGCATTTGCAAGCAGCAGGAACCCCTCAAGTAATGTCCACAAACCCATTTATTTTCCTGCAATGTAAAGAAAACCAACCCACCTTACAAACAAATCCCAAATTATTTGCGCTAGTCTTTCATATGTTCTTCAACTATAAACAGAAGTGGAAAATATATGTGACTAAGACAAATAAAAAAGACTGTTGTTGTACACCCCTCAATCTTCTTGCATCGTTGATATTCTTTAAATTATGGAGAAATATTAGAACTTTACTTTTAAAAATCATAATTAGGGTATTTTTAATAGGTTGACAATGTAAACATTTTACACTAACATCCTATAAAATTTGAACTCAAAATAAGTATTGAGAATTGCTACCATTCTTATAATAGAAAACATGACTAGTGAATTACAGAAAAATGGAAGATCATATACAAAGACTACTTAATGCTTTACACATCACTGAAAAACTATGCACTGGCAAGTAAGAATAGAGATCAAATTCATTCTAAAGTATTGACCTGGGGCAGAGAAGAGCAGAAACATCGTATGAAATCATGCATCAACTACGACAAAACTAGTAGGTCCCTACATTTACTTGTCTCTATTAACTCAAAAAGGCCATGGTCATTAATGAAGCTGATGATTTTGGGATAAAAAAGCAATCATTAACCATAAGCATGAAACAGCTAGCAGCACTATGTAAGTGCGTTATATGCCAAATCCCAATCTTCATAATGCCTCATATTTGGTAAACTATCGCAGTCAAAATAAGTGCTCAAGGAAAAGTAATCATAACCATTAAGTTGAAGTGCAGCACGGTAACCTTGACCTGACTTGGTATATAATGTTCTTTGTTGAAATATATGGAGAGAATACAGAAATGGGATACTTTCATTGTCAAACAACTGACAGAAACTAGGGTTGAGAATTTTCCCTTAGCTGAATGAAGGGCTAGGAAAATCTAAATTCCACTCACAATCACACAGAGGACCTCAAGATCTTCCATTAGACTGAATCATTTAATGAATAAGTCTCACTCTCAATTGAAGAATGTCTAATTCAATTGAAGAATACTAACACTACCTTTTTTTTATCTGAGTGTCAATAGTTGTAGAGCAGAGTACTCACTTCAAACACATTGAAAAATTGGCAGGACAAAGTGATTTTAAGGCATAGATCGGAATTCACGGTGCTAGAGGAACTCGGATCAAACAACAGACACACAAAACTAATTTTAACGAGTGCGGAACCCTAGATCTGCCTACAAATTCAACAGCCAAAAGTATGTAGACCTAAAAATGTACTTTTTAAAAGGAAACGAACTAAAAGGACCACCTTAAACTTGGATTGAACTGGGGTACAAAACAGAAGAACAGTAGAATAAAAATGGAAAAAAAATAAAAAAAAATTAATAATGGAAAAATAGCGAAGGTAGAGGAGGTAACCTGAGAGAGGAGCACGAAGGAAAGGGTAGATGGCGGTGGCGGAGTGGAGGTGGATGGTGGAATCAGAGAAGACAACAATGGCACACCACAAAGCAGAAGATGGAAGAATGGAAGGACATCTACTGTGTACTCGCTTTTTATTTTTTTTAATCAGTGTGAATTCAACTTACTTTCCCATCAATTTTTTTTTAACTTCACCCAGAATCTCTCTTTTTCATATTTTTAATAATTTCACACTCAAATCCTTTCTAATTTAATTTTAATAAATGAAACTTGTTCTTCTTTATTTTATTTAAAAATAAAATATTCATTAGAATAAAAATTATACTTAAATTTTTAAAACAAAAAATTAAATAAGCTAATGAGTTAATTCTAATAAAATTATTATTATTTTTTTCTAAGATCTCTTTAAACGATATTTACGTGATACGCGGAAGTCTACATAAAACAAATCACATCTCTTCAAGTAACTACAATTATAATATTGAAATGAGGTTAATCCTTATTAAAAAGCTCAACAAAATATTATTATAATTTAGAAATAGATTATATTTTCTTTAGGTTAATATTATCAAAGTAACAATAATCTTTTATAAATATATTTAGTTTTTATTGATGTATCATAAATTATGTATTTTTTTTTTAATTGTATAGGTTGATTTTGAAGATGTGTAGACTCACCAATTATATATATATATATATATATATATATATATATAATATTTAAAAATACTTAAATAAAAATATTTTTTTATTTTTTATATCTGTTTAATATTTAAACATAATTAGGTTTTGGAGGAGTTTATTCTCTTTTCTCACCCTTTCTCTTATTTTTCTATCTTTTTCTCTTATGCATTTTTTTAATTATATAAATATGAATTTTAACAATTAAATCAATGGCTGTTGGGTTGGGTTGGGTTCTTCCTTTCTTCCATCTTCTGCTTTGTGGTGTGCCATTGTTGTCTTCTCTGATTCCACCATCCACCTCCACTCCGCCACCGCCATCTACCCTTTCCTTCGTGCTCCTCTCTCAGGTTACCTCCTCTACCTTCGCTATTTTTCCATTATTATTTTTTTTTCATTTTTTTTCCATTTTTATTCTACTGTTCTTCTGTTTTGTACCCCAGTTCAATCCAAGTTTAAGGTGGTCCTTTTAGTTCGTTTCCTTTTAAAAAGTAAATTTTTAGGTCTACATACTTTTGGCTGTTGAATTTGTAGGCAGATCTAGGGTTCCGCACACGTTAGCAAGAAAGATGCATATTTGGATTAAAACAATCCTTTGTCTTGTATCACTTGCAATATTTTTGAGCGTTATGATTTCATTCATTGCCAATGACCCTGTTGCACTACATATTTCCTTTCTTTGAACTTTGATGTGATTTTTTTTTTCTTTTGGGGATAATGAGTGGGTTCAATTACTCTTATGCTAGAAGTTAGCAACACTTATACACTAGCACAATTGATTATAAAATTTATTGCTGCGAGTTCATATTTATTAACTGTTTCTAATTCACTTCCTATATTTATGTCTTGATAACATGAATTTTTATTAAGATGAGTGATACGTTCTGAGATTTCATCTTCAAACCTTAAATTAATTTATTTTCTCCCTGTTTATTACTAGTCCTTATAAAAGACGTAGCAGTAGACACATTCTTGTCTTCTAGATATGAACTCAGTGGTGAGGCAGTTATCAAGCTTATTCAGAAGTTCAGGTCTCACAACTGAACCGTTCAATATTGGGCATCAGCAAATGAAGCAGCAGCTTCAGCAATGCAGATGCATTCGAGTAAAGGTCGTAAATGGGAACTTGGAAGCGGCATTAGCTTTGATGCAGCGTAAGATGCAAGGAAGTGGGATTGAGAGAATGATAAAGCAGGAACAAAGATTTCATTTAAAAAACTCTGAGAAGCGTATTTTAGCCCAAAAGAACTTGGAGCGAAGGCTTCGGTCTGAGGATCTTGCTAAGAAACTTAAGGCCATTATGATCAAGAAAGTCAGGTATTTAGCTCCTATATAAAAGACCAAATCTTCTCCTTTAGAGCATTAGTAAAATCTGCACCTTGTCCCTAGATCGCAATTTTTTCTAGCAATATTTTAAATGCATGATGTTTCGTAAATTGCAAAGAATTTTCTGCAATAACATGAATTATTTTAAGCTTTGAAGCACGGATTTGACACATGCACTTCGACATGACTAATATCCAAAATATGAACACCACACACACATAACCCTTGCTAAAAAGGATTATTAAGGGCCACTATTTACAACATAATGGCTTTTATCTCATCATATAAAAATCTCAATAAGATGGATTTTACCATGTCTTGTGGGCTTATCTATTTGCAAAACTACACACACACACAAGCCTTGAAGGGGAAACATGCAACTTCTAATCTCCTGGACGAATTAATTCCTACCAAATGTGAAGGAATTTTTTGTTTGCTAGTATCCTCTCATGCTAGTAATTGGTTCTTCCGTGATTTCAAGTTAGCGTCTTTTAACTGGAAATATTATTATGTATGTGACATTCAATAATATTGGTGGGTGCATTAGACCTTCATTTTGATAAGTAAAATCTTGTTATTTAGGAGCCAATGCCCTATCTTGTTCCCACTATGAGGCTTCCTGGGTTTATACGCTTTGGATGCTCAAGTGTGGGAATTAGGAAAAACTAACGTTTGAATTTGATCAAAGGCATATTATAATATTATATCATCTAGCCTCTGCATTTTATTCCACTTCGTTCCCTTTGCTTAAACGCTTACCCCTTCCGTCATTGTGATGTTCGCATTTTATCGGATTGCGTGTTGCTTCTATTTGTTCTGACATTTTGCATATTCTGCTGCAATATGACAGGGGTTTATGAGGATGTTGCATTTCGCACAAGAAATGGTCGTCATAAGTGGCAGTTAATTATAATTTGCATGCGCTCACTGCTTTTGACACATTATTTCCAACTGCCCGGATCTGGTCGGGTCATATGTACTTTGTAGCTGTTATTTTGGGGTACCCTACGCTTTTGCAAATTGCAACCAAGAAAGTATACATTTTATGATAAGACAATTGTTTGGTCAATTCTTGAATCCAATAACTCAAGATGTTCAATGTTCTTTAGTTGTTATGGAAGCAGTTTTCAAGCAACAGTTGGATGCAACATTGTCCAGTGATTTTTTTTCTGGGATAATTTGTTTAATAGGCTCCTTGAAATGAAATTGAGGTATTTTATGAATTCTAATCTCATGTGGCTTGTCGAACTAGCTTATAATTATAGATATTTTTCATTTCAAGAAGAGTAATATATTAAAAAGATCTCTAGCAAGAGCTAAAGCCTTATTTTGTTACAAACTGACACCTGAATTTCATGAAGTAATAATCACTTATTGTTGACAGACTTCAGCAACTTCCAAATTAAAAAATGTCGTAAAGGATAGTCAAAGTGCTGGGTGTGCCAAGAGAAATATAATTTGAGAAGTTATATACGTAGTTTTATGGGTTTATGGATGAGTAAGTAAGTGAACATTTTGGGAATGAAAATCAGTTGAAAGACTGAAGAGTTGGTGTATATGATTTAGAAACAGTTTAAGTTGAGTTCAGATTAATGTTTGGAAAGTACTTCCTGTGAATTCCTAATAAAGAATTTCAATAAACTAAATAAAGAAGAAAAAAATGTTGCCTTCAAAATAAAAGTACTTTGTCATTTGTACATCATCTAAAATCTATTTATCGCAGGTGCTTTTACAGTGTAGTGCATACTGAAAAATTGTATTGTCAAATTATCTTGTTTCCGGTCTGATTCGAACTGGCTTTCACTACTTGCCAACACTAAATAAATTAAATTGCTGCAAGTATGAAACTTGCCTACATGACATTTTTTTGTTTTTGTTTATACTTCATTTACCAATGTTGCTACTAGTTATTTGTTTTTCTATGTAGTTTTGACCTGGAAAGCCTGGAAAATATGCCCGCTTTCTTTCATTTTAGGGATCCTAAATGTTACTAACTTTAAACCACAGTTTAACCTTTTTAAATTTCTACACATAAATAGGGCATGGTTGCTTTGGGGAATATATCTGAGATCAAAATCATTTGGTGGTAATCAAGACAGTTTTCTTGATAGTTTTTGACGGCCAGTGATGTTTCACAGGTCTAGTTCTTTCTTTGTATTGGTGGCATTCTCCCAATTTCTTATTCTGAGGCATCTTTATAACAATTCATATGAATTGTTTCTTATATTAAAAAATATAAAATATAGATTTATTATGTCAATTCATACTTAACACTCATAATTTTACTTGAATGAAATTATTCTTAACAAATTTTCAAGAACTGACTCTCTATCCTATTCTCTTTTCTCATTATTTCATTTTATTCATCTTTGTAAGTTGTTTGATGAAAAAATTAACAATTTTTTAAGCTTACCATGTCACTTAAGATTACTGCAATAAAATATTGTTTCAAGCAACTAATGCTTCACTTAAGCATTTCAAGAAACAACTTAATTTAATCCTGATTCATATAGAATCTTCTTTACTTTACTTTGACTACGTTAGTTTATTGTATCATACACGCACAAAGTTTCTACTTGATCTTTTAACTTATTCTAAATCATTTAAAACATAAGTTAAAGAATTTGAATTTCAAATGGGCTAAATGTCCCTCAAACACGAATGCATTAAAAGTTCATACATCCAGAGTGGATATGGATTTTCAGGAAGGAAGACTAACAGCAAAGCAATGTCTCGTAAGTGGGTCATTGGTTTGGTATTTTGTTGTGTTTGTAGGGTGGTCAACTGTCATGCACAAACTGGATCCTTGAAAATAGTATTTTCGTAAAAGATTTGCCGACTTTGAGTTTTGACGTCTTTTTTGAGCGAGGTTGTAAAAGCTCTGAGTTTCTACTTTGTACAATTTCACTTTAACATACTTTTAAAGGCTAAAGCATACGAGTTTTTTGTTTCTGCATTAGTTTAAATTTCTGAAATCATAGAGACAAGCCAAAAAAATGCATAAATCTAACGTTTAACCCGCAGGAAGAAACATCAAAATTGCTGCATTTAGATTTTCTTATTTCTGAATGATATTTCCTTCCTTTAAATGTTCTATTTATCAAAAGGAAATATGTTCTTTAACCAGTGAGAGAGCAAAACGCCAATCCATTAGGGAAAGTCACAGACTTTAACTCATATAAAAGAGAAAAAATGTCGAGTTGAAAATGTTTTTTTGACAGCCTCTTAACCTGAGCTTTTGAGCATATTGACTGAAGGAAATAAAGTTGAAGTTTGAAAGGATTGTTGTATTAAGTGTATGTAGAATTGGTTATTGCTGCAAAATATAAGTTCAATGTAATGTCTGATTGAAAGTTTATGACACTTCAGTCTCTAGTTTATTTTTAAATAATACATTATATATTTGTTAGTGTGAACTGAGATATCTAGTTTATTTTAGTTATTCTGCAGAAAGAGATTAAGATGAAAATAATAGATAAAGCTTTCTTCTTTCCTTTTTTCAAATAATCCATGTGTAATTATTGATCCATATTTTCCGGGATATTGAGGATAATCTATGTGTAAGCTGTTCCCGGCTCAAACACAGACAGAACATTAAGAAGTGACAGCAGTTTGGCAAATCAGTTATCCTTTGCTGTTATTCGTTAGAGTGAACTGGGGTGAAAAACATTTCAGAAACCCGGCTATGACTTTATTTGTTTTGTGTAAAATATGGCCCGAGATCAATAATTTGATTGGCAATATGGTGTGCCTCAATCTATAAAGTTTTGGACTAGTACGAAATTAATGAAGCTTCTATTGATTCATGCAGTTAGTTTACTTCTGCTTGTGTATTTAAACTACCAAAATTTACTGCACTAATCTTATACTTTTGTATAGGCTTGTAAATTGTACTAATGATTTTATCTGTATGATTAACAGAAAATGTGAAATCTGTGGATCAATTGCATGCAATGTAGCTGGAGCTATTGAAATTCAAATGACAGAACAATGGAATGAGGCAAATGATGCTTCCACAGTACCAACATCTGGAGCAGCACCACCTACAGAAACTAATTTCTGGCAGGGTCACCGTTTTTTGAATTTCCTGCTAGCATGTATGGTCTTTGCCTTTGTCATATCCTGGCTCTTTCACTTTAATGTACCCTCTTGAATTCCTGTGTAACTTGAGGATCAAGCAGGTTAAGATGATGGGGGGGTCGTTATAAGACCAACCTATGGCTGTTAACACAGGTATCAAACTCAATACCTGCGTCTGCATAGTTGATTGGGATCTCTGTTTTTCTTTTCATACGATGTTCATATGTGTATTATTGCTTTTCTTTGCTGTATTGTTGTTGATCTTATTTTACTCAATTTAGAATAGCACCATGGATCTTTATCGTAATTTTCTTAAACAAAATTATATAACATGCTCGTTGCATATCTTACAAAATTGTATTTGAATTGGAGGGTTTGTACTCTGTACAATGCATCTATCAATTTTGGATACATTAGTGCACCATCCAAGTTTTAACCCTTTAATATGATGAGATGAGACCATGAGGCAATAACTTTTTAAGTTACATTGTCGTCCTTTGCATGAAACTTATATTATGTGTAGATAAACTGTATTGAGTTTGAGTGAGTATTTGTAAAATTAGTTTTGAAATAATATGACTTATATTGGATGTTTCTACCTTAAAAATAAGCTAATAATAAAATTCAGTGTAACTTTTTTTATTCAACGCAAAAATTGCTACTATTGAAAATGAGAATATTTACTGACAACTATATTGATTGATGTTTTAATTTGTGTATGAATGATTTATAAATCTAATTATGTACTTGGTTTTTTAAGGATAAATGGATACAAGTATTATTTTTTTTTATTATTTTAAAAAGTAGGCATGGGATAGAGCTAATCCATTATGAATATAATTTATTTTCAAATTATTAGCTTTAAGACAGGTTAAGGTTCATCTGTTTTACGATATAAAAAATTCCTTTTTAAAAAAAAAATACACATTTAATTATTTTTTTCTAACTCCGCTACAATACTTTTTTCATAAATAGTATCATTTTAAAAAATATTTCTCAAAACAACATCTTTAACAATGTTTCTGCAACATTATTTATCTAGCACCGTTTAGTATTTACGTTTAAAATTCGGTTACAAGATTGATTATTGAAATAACTGTCTCGCCATTGAGTTCATATCTAGGAGACAAGAATGCGTCTACTGCTACGTCTTTTATAAGGACTAGTAATAAACAAGGAGAAAATAAATTAATTTAAAAAACAAAATGTAGCTGTATTGATGTTGCGTCATGCATAAAAAAAATGACATCAATCATATCTTTTCACTTTTTTATAAATTCACTGGAACTTGAATATCTTGTCGTTAGAGGTGTCTACAAGTTGGTTTGATTTAGTTTTACAGGAGAAAAATCTAAATCAATACATTCGGAGTGGTTTGGTTTCCTAAGTAAAAGAAGACGAGAGAACAAAGATCAATTATGAACAATATGCTCTACTTCTGAGGTCATAAACTTCAAGCTTGTGACTGTAAAAGGCATGACATAATAGCACAATTACATCTAGATCTTTCAAATGACTGCACTTGTCCTAGCCATTAAGGATCAGGTAAGCAAATATAAATTATGCAAAGTACATAGGCACAATTCATTAACAGTTTCCAAATCACATAATGTTTGAGAATTTTCATATTGGAGAAGGAAACACGAAACACTTCGGCCTAAGCCTAACGGAAATGAGCAACATCGGAATGACAAGATGGGTGCTCCGGGCACCCCATTTAGAAAGAAGGGTCGAAGGTTTTTGGGCCCACGCCATCTATGTGCTCAGGGAGGGGGGCAGGGCGGTGGCGCGACTCGATCCGGGTACCGCTGACATACTCAGTTGACTTAAATAATCGTAATTTTGTCAACATAACCGAACTTTGTTCAAATACCCATTACATTTGGCTACAAATATGTATTATTATTCCCCTAAAGTGCAATGGCAACATGTTGAAAATATATTGATTCAATAATCATGTTATCCTGGTGTATTCTAGTTTAAGACAAAGAGAAAACACTGAAAAGCAGTTTCCACAACAAAACGCACCACCCACTACGCTATCACTCACAAAAACCACCAAGTCACACCAAAGGCTCATAACCTAATCACAGAACAATATTATCACTGCAGCGAATGGAATTAGCTCTAAAATTATTGAGAAAAGAAAGGATGAACGAAACACAAATGTCGAAGAATTTACCTCTGCCGCCTCGTCGGAGGAAGTAACGTCGCCGCAGATGGGGCTTCGAAGTCGAAAGATGTTCTGAAGAGAAAGACTTCTCAGTTAAATACTTTCGAAATTACGGGTTAAATCCATTTATATTCTTTAATATAATATATCTTTTTGTTCAGGCTTTATAAAAAAAATATTTATTTCAGTCTTTAATTTTCAAAAATAATATATTTTTAATTTTAATAAAGTTTAAACATTATCTTTATTAAATATATCGATTAGTTTTTATCAGAATTTATATATATATATTCAAGACTAATAACATATGTTTAAGTGATTTATTCATTTTCTTTGACGCATATAAATATTTATTTTTAACTCAACACTATCTTTTAACTAATAAATTGAACGTTAACTCCTTCCACATAAAAAAATCACCTCACAAGCTTGTTTTCTATTTACATAAAATGTGTTGGATTTTGTTTATTTACCGTTTTGTCTGCACAGACGATTGTGTTATCTGAAATACACCGAATTGATATAAAGGGTTGGTAAGACGAAAACTGTGAGACATGTTTACTGAATTGATTATTGGAATAATAGACGTGAATAAATAATCATGGGTCATCCAATTCCAAACTTGTTACACAGTACAGATTATATATAAAATGGTAATATGGTATAGTGTAAATTCCATTATTTTTTTATTTATCTCACATCTACTACAAAACTTAAGAAAAAGATAACAAACTCGATTCACTTATGAAATGGGTACAAGTTCTACACTTTCCTACACTTTCCTACAAGCAGTTTCAATGTCATTCCTAGTATCACACACCAACTCCAAAAATATAAGGAAGACATTTTTTTTGCTACAAGTTTAGATGAAATGATGACTAACCTATTTGGAGTTGATTTTTCAACTCTAGCTTGAGTAACTACTTATATGAGATCTTTGTACCAATCATAAGATTCCAATCAACCAGGAACTTCATCAACTCAGTTGGACAATCTTCAACTCCCTGGAGAAGAAGATCATCCTCAACAAGAACAACCACAACAAAGAAATTCGGGACGTAACGGATGTCGTCCTTGTTGTGGAACTGGACATCACTATAGAGATTAAAATTTTACTTTTGTATTATTTTATTTCAAATTTTTCATTATGTATTAATCTTAAAAGTTAATGAAAAATATCTTATTGGCCTCACTTGAATTTTGTTTAGATTTTATTATTTATTTTTGTATTAAATAATTTCTAAATAAATAATTATAATTAAAAAATATAAATATATAATTACGTTTTTGTAATAAATTATATCTAAAATATATATATATATACAATATTAAATAAAAATTAAAAATTTCATAATGTTAAAGATATAATATATTCAAAATATTATATACAACATAATATAACTTGGGTCACAACATATTTCAATCACTTTTCGCTCGAACGAGAATTCTATCGCTTGAACTGAAATAGAACGTGACAATATTCATTAGTTACGAGTCTCCTCGTTCAAACTATGGATTTCTCGCGTGAACGAGAGTTGAGCTTGAGCGAAATAATCGATCATAATTTAAAATAATCGATTATTTTAAAATTATAATCCATTAGTATAACTTATAATTGATTATAAATAGTTGCGGTCTTCTCGCTCAAGCGAGAGTTGACCACATATTAAATATTTAACGCAGTTAGCCACGTAATGTAACTTGGGTCACCACATATTTCAATCAGTTTTCGCTCGAGCGAGAATTACATCGCTTAAGCGAAATAAAACCCGACAATACCCATTAGTTGTAACTCTCCTCGCTCCAACGATAGAATTCTCGCTTGAGCGAGAGTTGACTACGATTCGGAATTCGGTTTCCGATAACCGAATTCCAAACGTGATCGGGAAATAATGTTGCAAAAATGTTGTTTTGGGAAATATTTTTTAAAATGATATTATTTATAAAAAAAATGTTAGTTATGCCTAGAAATAGGTTGCTTTATATATAAATAAAATAATTTTTAAATTGGAAAGATCATAGTTTTTATTTTGTAACGGTTAAATGACATATTTAAAAAATATATATATTGCTTAACATTAAATAAAATGATGAGTTGTCTAAAAAAGTGAAATTAATTTTCATAATTTTGAAGACTTAACTAAGGTAACATCTAATTAAGTTACATTTGAATTAAATTACAATTTAAAACATGACTATGATATTAGTTAAGTGTTAGAACTATGGATTAATCTATTCTACCTACGATAATATACAATTCAAAATAGTTTGAGTATTTATATCATCGTTGTCTGACGGTGTTCACAGATACAACCCGGATAAGGGTTTGCATAGAAGCCTTCTTCCCATTTGGGGTGTCGATGAACTTTTCTATGATGAGGACCTCCAATTTTGTTTGCATGAATGCTCTTCACCTTGGATGAAAATTCATCCCACGAAATCAAACCATTGTCCAATTGATCAATCAATCTTACAAACCTTTGCCTGGAACATAACGAGGTCGATTAAGTACTTAATATGAATCATGTCATAAATTTACAATGAAAAAGACATGAATGTTATTTAACAAAACTAATTAATACTTGTCTGGGCTTATAGTTTTTCGAAATCCTTCAAATGCGCGATGACCACGAGCTGCCTTGGCCATGTGTCCGTCATAACTATAAACAAAAACATCACTTTCTAATGCTATGATGTAATCCAGAGCAGCAAGCTGATTTTGGTGACCCACAAATGGTTTAAGCTCTTCTTTTGTGGCCAAGGTAGAGTGTGAGAGCAAATTACGATACTTGCTTTGCAGGGGTTTCATTTCGTCTTTCCCATAAATCCTACCTGCAGCTATATAAATTTTTGTGTCAAAAGGATAACCAAGTGCTTCAAGGAACACTGCAACCTCTCTTGGAGTCAAGGGGCAACTACCCCGCAAGCGCTTTGATTTACTATCAATTTCCTTCACCTTCCAATGTTTCACTTGATATCTCATCTTTTTAAGTTCAACAGCTTCTTCTCTTGTCAAGTTGTGGTTACAACCTGTAAAAGCAAGCATGTCCTTTTCATATCTGCAATATTGGCATTTTGTTGTGAGACAAAGGTCGATTAATATGTGTACCCTATTATAAGTTTGGTGAGTATATGTAACATGTTAGAGGAATTACCTTAAGTGAAGGGCAATGTAAGGACTGTCATTGTTTCTAATTCTGTTTACTAACTTCATTCCAAGCTCTTCAATTGGAGCTATGAACTTAAGTCCTTCATACATGGCTCGACAACGTATTCTTTGGATTGGAGTGGCTAGACCATTATTGACTAAGCGAGAATCAGTGTGGGTAAATTTCAGCACTTTGTGTTTCTTCAACAATTGCAGCATCTCCCCTGCATAATAACCAGCCTACATGTTCCAAATTAGACAAGATATTAAAATTTTAATTACTACTTTGCAAAAGCAGTGGAACTATCTCTGTAGATAATGTAGTATTATTGCCTTTGACCAAGAAACTGGAGCCTTCATAATTGGCTTAATTGTTGCAAATTCTGGTGGTAGAGACTCCACTATTTGAACATCGTCATTTAAAACCTCCACGAACTTCTTCCAATTAAAAATTTGTTTAAAATCACTGAGACAATAAAGTTTGAGAACTCTAGAATTAGAGAGGAACATATATTCTGTTTCCAAACTCAAGTAAACGAGATTTTATATCATACCTAGAATCCGCCCAGAAGGAATTATGATCTAATGTAGGTAAAACCAATGTGGCTTTCATAATTTTCGCAATAGCGACCATGTCACTTATCTGCAATTGGGTGGAAAATATATTTATATGTATATCATAAGATCGAATTAAAGAAGAATGCTGAAAAATAAATAAACATAAAGAAAGATAAACTCTGAAAGTAATTTAGCTTCATACTCCAGTTTTCATTTGATTTAAGCCGCCATTGGCTTGGATTATTAGGTAACCATTTGTGAAATTTCCCTTCCCTGCGCGATATAGAAATTTTCTAGTTACAAAGATGGCGAAATGGGAATCACTTACATGATGTTTTTTTTCTCAAATTTTGAGCAATAAAATCCTTTGAACTCACGTTTATCACTATTAGCTCGACCCATGCATTTGTGGTAGTTGCTGCTATCGGGATGCTTCCATATTTTGAGAGTCTAACTAACATATATCAAATGGAAACTAGCATCACAATCTAATCCAAATGATGATATTAGCATAATTTATTTATTGTGAACAAAAAAACGAAGTAAACACGCTAAACACCATATCTTTGTCCAATATTGACAATCTAAAACAAGTAAGGTGTTAAAGTTATAATATCATACAACTTTTAATCATAATATGCCATCAACCTTTTGTGAGCCAACAAATGTAACGAAAATATTAAGAAATAAAACAACATGAAATCCTAGATAACCAAAAGGAAATGAACAACACATACGTGAGTGTAAAACTTTTATTTTTATCAAGCCAACTAGGGTTGTAGCCATTACATCCATTTCGTGGTGAAAAGTTATTAGAGACAAGAAAAGGCATTACATTCATAAAATTATGAAAAGAATATAATACAGTAACTATATGTAAAATATCACATAGAACAAATTGTTGTATACCGGTGACTTGTGTGGTGAGGGTAGATGTTGTACCACGTTTGCATGAATAGTGTCCAAGGCCAACGGATCAGAAGACATATTCATGAACAAGACAAACTTGGCAAGCATACACAAACAAACCAAAACCATCAAGGCAAAAAACATATGACGTCCTAGCTGGAGCCTGAAAAGCTTTTGCCAATGCCGTATTTTACGTCGCGTAGAGGACATGCCTCTCATGCCAGAAGACATTAATCCATATCGTTCTTCTGTCCCATCTAACAGGCTCCTCCTTGCCTTGAACATGGTGCACACGATTATTGATCAAGAGTCACGCTTGGAAAAGAAATAATAACAGGTTGTTACAGATTAAGATGAAGGACACAAAAGGGAGTGTGAGATTATGAAAAAAACAATGCATTGGACGAAGGTTGGACTTTTGTGATAGACTTTTTTTTTTTTTCTTCTTTTGTCTTCGGCGAGGCTTTTGTATAGATAAACGATAAGTTCATATGTCATGGGAGCGAAATATGAGGCTATCCACTCTCTCTTCGTTTCAAATGGTTTTAAGTGCTATATCCAGTTTTGTAAAAAATTATTCACACCTATGATCAAGCCAAAAAATATATATTTTCAGATGACTCGAACCATATTACACCTATTATCACATTTATTTCCCCCTAATTCAATCCTTCTCAACTTGAATTATACTTTTGAGTTAGTCATTACCTGGACACTTTCTCTAATAATGATTTCTTATATTTCCACTTTTTTTTTAACACTTTTAGTTTATTATTGTTTAAATAATTTTTATAATGTTGAAATAAAAGGTCTAACCTTACGAGATATAACTATTTTTTTTCCTAATTTTAAGTTTAAATTTATTTTTGTTATGATATTATCTTATCTTGATATTGAATCCTTTCTTTAACTAATATTGATGATTATTTGAGTTATTTGTTTCATGTTTTTTTTTTCTTAAGTTCATAAAATATAGATTCTTAGAAAAATTAAATAAAATAACCGTACCGTTGGAACTAAGAGGATAGACTTACAAGTTAAATCACAATATTAGATGTATCTCTTTAAGTATTTAATGAATTATAAAATGATAATAATAATAATAATAATAATATATAATTAAACATAAAAATCAATTCAACGAATATCTTTATTTTCAAAATAGATAAAAAAAATACCCCAAGTCAATTAGCCTTAAGAGAAAACTAAAAAAACATAAAAATGTTTCATTATCATATTGGTATCCACTCTTTGCAAAATCCATGTTTCTCCATTTTCTGCATAGTTCATTCTTTATCTTTCTTATCTCTCTTTCACCAACAATCTCTTGGATAAAAAACAATTTTCATTGTCTTTATCTTTCCGTGATTTTCTTTATTTTATTTTAATTATAATTTATAGTAAAAAGTTATTATTAAAATAAAAATTATTACTGATACAAATCTTAATTCCAGTTTTATCTGATCGTCATCCATGCTACGTTTATTTATTTAAATGCATCACAATTCTTAACATTTAAATTTTTTAAATTGTCCGTACCTAATTATTTACATTATATTTTAACTTAAATTGATTAATTAAAAAAGGGTCCCTATTTTTTTAATTCCTTCATTTAATGTTAAAATAAATTATAATTAATATTAAGTTTTTTTTAATATTAAATTCGTATAGCTACTAATTTATCGTAAAAAAGCTATAAAACTGAAGCAAAGGGCCCTCTGAAGCCCAATTGAATGGGTCTTGCAGAAAACCCTAGTGGGCCGGCTTCGTTACACTGTCTCTATAATAACCCCGAGACTGATAATGCAGAATCTGCTTCCGCCGAACCTTGAAGAGAAGAGGAGAAGAAGAAGGAAGAGGCATCACCATTACCAAGATGGTTAAAGGACGCAAGGGAGAACGTATCAGGTTTGCGATCTGTGTTTTGGACACTCCTAATCCTGATTTCAGTTTTCAAATGTTAGCGTAGTACACATTCATGAATATTTGTTGAAGTTATCATCATTTTTCTCGTTTGCCAGACTTTACGTCAGGGGTACAATTCTTGGATACAAGAGGTATGGTATTCTTCTATTTCTCTACAATTAGCTGCATTTATATATTTATATATATATATATATATATATATATATATATATATATATATATATTCAATGTTTTATCATGTGTTAACTTGCCTAAGGTCTCCTCTTTTTCGTACAAAAATAATAGTATTAGGTTTATTATTTTCTTATAATAATTTGAAAATCGGCCATGTATATGATGATATTGATAGTTGATTTTGTTGCTCAGGTCCAAATCAAATCAGTACCCAAATACTTCCCTCATCCAGATTGAGAATGTAAACTCCAAGGAAGAAGTTGCGTGGTACGCTGGGAAGCGCATGGCTTACATTTACAAAGCTAAGGTAAAGAAGGATGGAAGCCACTTTCGCTGCATTTGGGGTAAAGTCACCAGGCCTCATGGAAACAGTGGTGTCGTTAGAGCTAAGTTCAAGTCAAATCTTCCGCCAAGATCGATGGTAAATTTTTGGACAGAGAATTGATTTTTGTTTTTGACCTTTTTGTAGTTTTTTAGTGTTGACTATTAATGCATTTGCAGGGAGCGAGGGTTAGAGTGTTTATGTACCCAAGCAATATATGAGGTAATTTTACCTTTTCATCGACTTTATTGTTTTTTATTATATATACATTTTCAATTGTTATCTCATTATGTTTCTTTGAAAACTGAGATATGAGTGTTGTTACCAACTTTACTGATGTATTTGGTTCTGAAACTTAGTTTCATTAATCAACCAATATATTAAAATATAAAATGTCCAAGTAAAGAAAATACCGATGGGTATTTGCATCAAATAATCACTTGCTATGAGCGAATAATGGGTTCTAATTTTGTCCTATCCAGATGCCAGACTGCTGAGAAACCTTTTATCTTTTAAGACAGTTTAATTTAACACATTATAAATTGATAATGATCCCATTTATTCATCGTCGGCCATGTTTGTTTCCTAATAGTAATATTCTAATTCAGTTTATGGAAATGTCCTATGATAGTTATATTGTAATTATAATACTAATGAAAAAAAATCTTGGCTGATGATTTTTTAAGGTTTTCCTGATTGAACTTAATGCTGCTCTTCTGGTTTGTCAGTTTCTCCCAATTTGTTTGTATATTGCTACCTTTTCTCATTTGATGCAATGCTAGTTAATTCCTTTCTCTCAAACTCTGTTCTTTTGTCTTTGTGCTTTGCCCAATTTCCTTATTTCAAGATTGCACACAGTTCTTCTTGGGAACCTAGTTATACAACAACAATTCCCAGGATTTTATATGTGCAGATAGAAAGTGAGGAACCTTTCTGCTTGAGCCTTCTCCTTTGTCCATGGAGATATGCTCCAATGTAATTGGCTTACAGTTTCATTAATATTCTAAATAATTGTTGTCTGTTGTGGTGTTCCTGTTTTTAAGCATATTAATAGTTCTCAGGTTGTCACCCAATTCATTGTTATTTTATTTTTACCATATCCCATTTCTTGACACAATGCTAATTCCTTCCTTTCAAACTCCATTATATTGTCGATATGTTTTATCTGTCCTATTGCTTCAGTCAAGGATGGCCTAAATACTTTCTTATGAAAATCGCACGCAGTTCTTCTTGGGAACCTATTTAACAAAATCAATTCCCAGGATTTTATCTGTGCGGATATTAAGTGAAAAACCTTTCTGCTTGAGCCTTCTTCTTTATCCATGGAGATATGCTCCAATGTAACTGGCTTACAGCTTCATCAGTTCTCTTAACAATTGAATGTGTGTTGTGAATTTGATGTTTTTGCGATATCAATATATGGTATTGAAGGTGTAGCCAATGGTACCTTTCACGTTGCTTGAGATAGCTTGTCTTAATATTTTTTTGTATATTGCTTTTTGATTGTTGATGATAATGTATGATTCTTCGAGTAGTAATTTTCCCCAATTCTATAAGTTGTATATTGGGATTTTATCCATTTCCGCTATTAGCTTTCGTTTTTAAGTAGTTAAATTACAATAGTGTTTCGGGGCTAAATGAACTTCCACTACGTTGACATGCATCATCTTCTATAAATAGATAATTGGTAATTGAAACTTATTTAAAATGGACTATTTTTTCAGCTTCTGCTTAGGCATATCCCTAATGGTAGTATGATGATTCTTCTATTTTATCTTTACATGATCTAATTTACCATGAAATTGCACGTTGTTTTTGCAGATTCTCAGTTCTCGTTGGTTGGGGGACTAGTTTGTCTGCGTACTCAAAAGGAATTTGCATTGTGCGAGTTAAATTTTTATGTTTTTTTTTTTTGTTGTTGCTTATGATAGTCTTGTTTAGGATGGCAAATGAACCGCATATTTTTTTTTTCTACATGAAGGAGGATTTTGATTCTCAATTTTATGAATGGATTCTTTTTACTCAACTGTTTCACATTTATGGTCAGTTTCGCCTTCCCTTAAATTTGGAATTGAAAATTCCAACTACCGATGTTCTCTAACTTTATTTTCAAATTTTAAGGAAATCCCGAAATTAGTTGGAATAAATTATTATTGGAAGAATAATTACGAATTTCAGAAGATTAAATTAAGAATTTGCAATCTCAAGTCAATCGTATATGGATATTAAATTAAATTTGCTAATAAAAATTTGTGATTTGTGTTTCATGGTAAAAGTTGTACAGTGAACTGTGATCATTCTCAAGTTGTAATCTGTCGAGGGGGACTATTGTGAGCAAATAGTAAGTCATACTCCAGAACTTGAAGCACGAATATCATCTCAAAGTTTTTTGAAAAAAAGATGTAGTGGTTGGATTTACAAAAAGGACACTCTTGTTTATTTTACATCCGTGCTTGACATTGTCAGTGTCTTTCATTGGTGTCTTAACTGTGTTTCTATGACAACATTGAAGGTATGACCGATTGCTATTGCGAAAACGCAATAGTCAGCGTTAAAAATAATATCAATTTCGATATTACATAATATCTTAAAATCGGTGATGAGGCAAAACAGGCTAGATCGTGTTCATCATCTTTTTTTGCTAAAATAGGGTGCCATCATAATAATTATAAATCCTAGTCTATAATTTGTCACTATTTATTTATATATATATATTTTTAAAAATTAATTAAATATTTTTTATTAAATACATTAAAAAATTACTATATTAAAATACTTAATTATAATAATAATAATAATTTAATTGATTTATATTTGTATTTAAACTATAGTATAATAAAAGATTTATTATATAAATATTTTTTAAGTTTTTATATATTATTAATATTTTTATTAAAAAAATAAAAAAATATGTTAAAATACTTAATTATAATAATAATTTAAATTGAATTCATTAATATTTTTTATTTAAATTATAATATTATTAAACCGGCCTATCTCGTATTGTTATGCCAAAGGTGATTTTCACGTTCCCCCACCCCCACCCTTCTCTAGGAAAGAAAATTCATGTGAACCATAAGAAATGGGAATTTGGCTTTGGTTGACAAATTTAGTGGTCATTACCAAAGGAAATAGTGCATGCATATTAACAACAATTTACACAAATCTTTGTTGACTTCTTCGTTTTTAATGGGTAAGTACAAACCTCACTCACTGTATATATTAAATAATACTATTTTTATATATTATTTGGACTGAATGTTTTATATGTATAATCTTTAATTTGGTGAGATCTCGGATAAAAAACAGCACATCTTCTATAATATCAATTGCACACGTCCATTTTATCATATCTGATTGGGGAAGGTGGCATTGCACTACTCCTCCACCTTCAAAATTTCATGAAAGAAATTGGACCTAACAACAACCTAACACTCTTTTCACTGCGTCACTGTATTTTTCATTTCTTCTAACAATTCTGGTACCCAATACAACGTTAGTTGATGGACCATAAATGAGACGCGCTTTTACTTTTCATTTCGCCTTCTCCCCCACTCAAGAAACACACCTACGTCCAGTGAAAGAAAATTAATAAATGATAATAAATATATATATATATATATATATATATATATATATACACTTTTTTCTTATTATCATCTCACTTATTATATGTATTATGCCTTTTACCTCATTCAGAGACATGTTTATTAAAATTCTGAATGATACTTATGTAATTTCACCCTTTTTGTTGAACTTATGATATTATATTTTTGATAAATAATTTAGAAAAATGTTACACAAAATTATTCTCGAATGTGTCTGAAAAAAACTGTTGGTTAACTATTAAAAATAATAATATAATGTTTGGGGTACTTTACTCAATCCAAAATTGATATTAAAGTGAAGTGATGTTTTAATACTTCTTAAAATGGTGACAAGCTCCTTCACCTGTTGACTTTCTACACAATCTCATTCTCCCACTTCCGCTTATGATAATGCGGGACCAATTTATCTTTAAATGATAACACTTCAAATTTTGCATGGATAAAATTTTCATTAAATTGTAAAATTTATGAACAATCTGTACTTTTCTTATATACATTTAGGAATCATTTTTTTTAATAAATTATTACCAATTTATATATTCAAGGATTAACTTGTTTTTTTACATTAAAAATTTCTGAAGTTGACAAAAATTAAAAATATATAATATTTTAAAAATTTTCTTTAGTTACTTTTCACTTATCAAATTAAGTTTCTCAAAATTTCAAATTATTCTCTAAATAAAAATTGCAAAATTGAGGAAATTCGTAAACGGCTAGTTCGTTTAAGATATTTAGTTACATGTATTACAATAGATTTGAATGGATAGGCTAAGTATAAATTATTTTTTTAATATATTTTTTATTAGCTTGACTTTTTTTAGCAAATAACATGATTTTTAAGTTTATTTATTAAAATTTATCTTATAATAACAATATTATTGATTTTTTTAATAAATAATAAATATGTAGTATATTACACTATCATATACTTCCTTTTTTTTTACTGTTTTGTTCCTTAACTAATATTATAAAGTACATTACTATTTCTTAATTAACTAGTGTAAAAAAAATCATGAATTACATATGCTGACCAATGGCAAAATAATTGTGTACCCAATTTTCTTTATTTAATTTCCATACCCTCTCCTTATTTGTCAACAAATATAGAGACATTTTTTTTATTATACCATTACGTGAAGATTTTTTTTTTAAGTGTCATCTCTAATAATAATTATTTTTATGAAATTTAGCGATAAAGGAAGAAAAACAATAATTACAAAATTATGTATTTAAAAATAAAAGATAAAAATTAAGAGTTATTAAGAAGGGAAAAATATACATTACAAATAATTTTTATTTAAAAATTAATAATATAAAAAATATAGACAAACAATATTGTCTTATCTTTTGATCAGGAATAATAATAAACTTTTTTTTCTCATTATTGAAAAATTAAATCATACAGAATAGTTTTTTTTTTTTTTTTACATTGGCCCATTATAAATAACTGTAAACGATTAATTTGTCGTTTTTTAGGATAATAACCAAAAAAATCTTGTTAACAACAAATTTTTGAATGGATTTCTACGCTACTTTTGTTTATATCGATCATGTTTAAAAAATAAATTCTTCGAATAACTAATAAAATAATAAAGAAAAAAAAATCAAGATCTCATTATTCAAAGTCTTGTAATGAAGTTTTTACCTTTTTCTTCATTTATAGAATTTAAAGTATTTAAAATTTTTAGAAATCTTATAATTAACATATTAGTTTTACTGAGTAAATAATTTATTTGATTGAACATTAAATTGTAATTTAAAAATAAAATTCAAATAAATATTATAATATTTTTAAACTTATCCTACACTTTCTTTTATTTCAGTAATTGTTGTTGGTGTAAAATGAGAATATCCTAATATTATCTATATTAAATGCAATACATATTGAATTCTAAATAATATTCCTAAACATGTATTAAGTGAGGATTAGCAAAAATTAATCAATGGAAGATTAACACAAATACTTGAACAATCCAACAATATATTACTTATTAACAATGTATTGTTATTGCCCAAAACAATTGTATTTATCAAATTAATAATCATCTGAATTATTGAGCTTCCAATAAAGTTTATTCACTATGATAAAATAGAAACAACATATTTTACTTTAAATGTGTAAACTCCAATGAGTTAAATTGATTAGAGACTAAAATATCATTACTAAAAGCTTGGATTAGAGTATGACATCAGAGTTTTGTTTTAATACATTAAATAATATCTCACATAGTTTAGAATTTATTTTTTAAAACTAGGAATACGTGAATTTCATTTAATATAACATTAGAAAGTACAAGTATAATTTATTTATATTTTTAACATAAATAATAAGAATTGATTCTTTTTGAATATATTGGCAACATATAAATAAAAACTTTTCTATATACTACAATATAATTTATTTATTTATTTATACACATTCCCTAAAGTTATTTATAATGCAAGTATATTTGAAGTAGAAAAAAGGAAGTGGTAAGATAGAGTTGGCTTAATTAAGTGGTGGGATATTAATTATGATTATGGATAGATGATTTAAATTTTGGGAAGTGATATACGAAATAGTCTTAATCTTATCAAACATACAACCAATAACTCCTTTTAATAATAAAATAATCCTAAACATAAAAATATAAAACTTGATTATTATAAAATGAATAAAAATAATTATTGTTAGGTGGTTTGAGCATAGGAGTTATCAATCTAAGATTTCTCTTACATTTTCAGATCTACTCTGTCGTTTTCATATTCTCTTATCCTCTCATTTTCTTTTCATACGTTTATAATGTAAGTTGGTGTCAGGTCAGGGTCCCACACAAACTTCCTTCAAACTCTACCAATTTTCAGACCCCTGCACAAATTGCGCCACAACAACCACTCCGATTACCACTCGTAAGTGAAACTGCATCAATCCATAGCGTCTGCATTTTTTTTTTTTTCAATTTATTCTCTTATATAATATTACTAATTAAATTTGATAAAATTTAATAGTAAAAAATCTGCCATGTACAGCTTCTTTTAAAACTCCAGGGATTCGGATCCCAATACATACTGTCACAACATTCTTTACGACGGTGAATTTAGGTATTTTTGTTAGATCTATCCTCAAGGTTAGGAAGAGAAAATAAATAACAAATTAGCATATATCTTTCTATGTTTATTTCAAAATAATATAAATATTAATATAATATCACATTTATCAAAAATATTGCCTGTTAAGTAAAAGATACTATTAAAAGTTATACTTTTTGTAATAAAAAGACAAAATTTAGGAAACATGCAAAATATAATTCAAACTAGCTCTTGAAATAATCAAAATCAGAATCAGTTAAAAATCAATTTCCAACCCACCTAAATTAGTAGAAAGAACTGTTCATTTCCGGTGTACACCCACGTCAATATGAACGTTGAAAATAACCATCTACAGAGTTCAATTTGCAATTCTATTTCGTGTTCTTATATGTAATCGATTAAACAAATTTTACGGAAATAAATTTCTCATTAATATGTTATGAAAATACATTTTATTTTTCATTTATAAGACATAAAATAATATGATTGTAATTAGTTATTAAATAAAGTTTAATAATTAATGTTTTTTCAGACAAAAGAAATCAGATTCTCCGTATTTTCTCTCACCCGTTTATATAATAATATTTGGTCTTCCGACACACCGAAGATTAAAAAAAAAAAAAAGTGAAGAAAGTCTAAGAAGGAGGCAGTGAGGACCTGTTTGTGTACGCGCTTTACCTTTCCATCAATTGATCAAATCAGTGGCTGCGTTTTAAATACAAGCAAACACTCTTCCGCCATCTATTTGGAATCAATCACTGAATCCGTCGACAATGGATGAAGGTACGGGTTCTCAGATCCATGGAGCATACCCATATTAAGCCTAAGCCTCTCAGATCCACGTCCGCACCCTCACACAATGAAGGGTTCGAGCCGTTTCCTCACCATCGGCCTCGTCTCCGCCTGGTACTTCTCCAACATTGGGGTTTTACTCCTCAACAAGTACCTTCTCAGCAACTATGGCTTCAAGTATCCCATATTCCTCACCATGTGTCACATGACCGCTTGCTCCCTCTTCAGCTACGTTGCCATCGCCTGGTTCAAGGTCGTTCCCATGCAGACCATTCGCTCCCGCCTCCAGTTCCTCAAGATCGCCGCCCTTAGCCTCGTCTTCTGTGTCTCCGTCGTCTTCGGCAACGTCTCCCTCCGCTACCTCCCCGTCTCCTTCAACCAGGCTGTCGGCGCCACCACGCCCTTCTTCACCGCCGTCTTCGCCTACCTCATCACCTTCAAGAGAGAGGCCTGGCTCACTTACCTCACCCTCGTCCCCGTTGTCGCCGGCGTCGTCATTGCCAGCGGGGTAACAATTACGCCTAATTGATATTTTATTTTCTTGCTAACGCGTCTAGCGCTTTTTTTTTTTTTTCAATTTTAAAACTAATTACTTAAATTATCGTTTTCTTTCTATATACGGATGTTAAAAAAACAACTATTTTTTGGTTGGAATCGTTGTTTTACCAATATCTTTTTTATAAATATTAATATTATAGAGCAATTATAGCACCGACACTTGCACACAAGCCCTCCAAGACTTTTTTTGCATAGGATAGGGGTAATTAAAATAAAGAAAAAAAAATATTGTTGAATCCTTCCCAACCAATTACAAAACACACAGTTTGTAAACTTTTATATTAAATATTTTGGAACTCTTAACTCATATTTTTTTCAGTGGGTAATATTATGGAGTTTTATCAAGCATGATTTTTGATTGATTTATAGTGTGCAAACTTCAACACTGGCAATCAATTCGAAATTTTAGTTTGTTGTTATCATTTTTAAGATAGTTGTTGTGAAAGTCAATACACCTATCATCTATTTCAGTTTGTAACTAGATGACAGTGTGAAAAACTCTTTAATTCATATTATTTACTCTATTAAGTTAGAGTTTTAATTGTTTGCACCTGGTTGTACAATCGAACAATATTGACTTATAGAAATTTTGTACTTCAGGTCGGTAGCATGTAGGATTATGCAGCCCCAGTTGATAATATTTTTATTTTGAGAGCTGATATTTCAATAAGAAGACATTCAAGAACCCATTATTACATGTAATAATCATGAAAAGAGTTTATGAAAAAAAAATAAAAATTAATATTGTATTATTAAAGGAGGTTGTTAAATGAATGTTTGTTGAGAAGAGAATGTCAAAAAAAATCTTTTTCCTTTCACTTTTCAGTAAAGTGGTATATTGGTGGGATAGTAGATAAGAATATTTCCTGTAGTTACCTTATTTAGCAAAATGTCTGGTTTAACGTTGCTTTATATGTGATATTCAATGGCGAATTCCGGTTACAAATAAAACCTTGTTTGGTTCATGTTATGTACCATTCTTGGTTTTGAGTAGTATACTTGGTGTCCCCAGTTTGCTGATTTATTTTTTTAACAAACTAGGAATTTTTGTTATGAATTTAGATGTTTTAATTGCTGTTGAATCAAATTCAACTGTTGATGAGGGACAAATTAACTGGTGCTAGATCTTTTATCTTCCTTTCTGTATTATTCAAGTAATAATGAGTATAAAGCAAAAATAATCTATAGCTTCTGATGTTTTTTTTTTTTCTTTGCTTATAGGGTGAACCGAGCTTCCATTTATTTGGGTTTATAGTATGTGTTGCAGCTACAGCTGCACGAGCCTTAAAATCCGTGTTGCAAGGAATTTTACTTTCTTCTGAAGGGTATGTACAAGGAACAAGCTATTTACTTCATTGCTATGTTTTCTTCTGTGGTCAGATTATATTATATTAAATAGCTACTGATACGTTTCTTGTCGTGTACCAGAGAGAAGCTGAATTCCATGAACCTCCTTCTTTACATGGCACCAATTGCTGTTGTTTTCCTTCTCCCTGCTACACTAATAATGGAAGAAAATGTGGTTGGCATTACATTGGCTCTTGCCAGAGATGATGTGAAGATCCTTTGGTACCTGCTATTTAATTCAGCACTTGCTTATTTTGTCAACCTGACCAATTTCTTGGTCACCAAACATACCAGTGCTCTTACCCTTCAGGTATGCCTCACTTATATTCAAGTAGACATACGTCCTTGTTTTTTCATATTTAATATTTTACTAAATGAACGTATCTGCTTCATAAACAAGTTTATTATCAATTCACAGGATATTATTGTTTATTAAATTATTTGTTTATTTATTCATTTTCATATATTCTTTAGTGCCTTCGTTTTCATGTGATATTTGTCTTGGTATTGGTATCTTATTATTATTTTTTCATTTCTTTAAGAATCAATTATTTGGAAGCACATTTGCCTAAGGTCATCTGAGTTTCGTGATCGTCTAGTAGTATAGAGTTCCTCAAAATTTTCAAGAACTTTATTTTCCAGTCTCTATTTCATAAGTAGTTTAAAGCCTCTTCGAAAAGGAGTTCATGGTGTGTAATATCATATGCTTTTGGATTCGTGAAAGGTCATAGCAGTGTGATTCAAGTTAGGATAACTGGATAAAGTAGTCCAGGAGTTATCCAGGATCTGATACTTGCATAAACTTATGTTAAGTTCATGCTTTAACAACTAATCCGAGAGTTGGCTCCTGCAGGTACTTGGGAATGCTAAAGGGGCTGTAGCAGTTGTAGTTTCAATTATGATATTTAGAAATCCAGTGTCAGTCACTGGAATGATGGGTTATTCATTCACAGTCCTTGGAGTTGTACTTTATAGTGAAGCCAAAAAGCGAAGCAAGTGATACTGATACTGTCATTCATGAGTTTTGGGAAGTCAGCAGTGAATTCCCTATATACGTTTTCATCCCTGTGCGGACAACCTCAAGATTCCATGAGGCAAACTTGTTAGCATCATTGTGATCAGAATTCGGATGTGTCAGACTATGTATACAATTTTTTGACCCTGCATGGAAAGCCTCATTAAATGAGTTCCCCACCGTATTGGCAACCTGTGCAGAAATAGCCCGGTGCAAAGTTTCAGTAAGTGACTGATCTCACTACTATACCCATGTCGGCATCATCGAGGAATGTCTTTTTGTCATTTATTCTTTGAAGAAAGAGTTGTAGAATTGGATCCTCTGCTCTTTTGTTGTTTACATTTGTTTATTATTGATGATAAAATTAGTATTTTGGCTCATAGCAAAAGTTCTGTATTACCTGTACGAAAAAAAAAAAGAGAGTGTAGTGTTATGTTTCTTTACTATTGGGGGTTTAGGGGATTCAATAGTCTTTCAAACTAGGAAATTATACAACTATTTGTTTATTATGTGTAAGAATCTAGCTAGATACATTTTTATTTGACAAGTCTATTTTGAATCTGGATTGACTTATCTTATAATGATAATTTTGAGGAAAGTCTTCTGTTTTATTTTTTTGTTGATAGAATTTTAACTAATTCAAAATGCTTAGCCATTTTTTTTTAGCTAAGTTAGGAAGAAAAGAAGGGATGAGCCAACGACATCATACACATTAATAGATTGGTCTTCTCCACTATATTTTCTTCCTTTTTAGTAAGCCCTGATCTTTGCAACTGTAACTTAATACATTTTGAATCTTCTGCTTGTGTAGTTCATTTTGTTCTGGATATTTGTATGTTTGTTGTTTTTATATATATAAAAAAAACTAATTAAATGCAGAGGTATTTAACGTATAAGATTCTAGCTATTAGCTAATTAGAGAACTTGCCTTCTGAAAAGTTTTCGTCCTCTTTCCTCTTGTATTAGGAGACATAGTCTATTTTTCAATATAAACAATTTACTGAATGTAGTGTACTACCATTAAAATTTTTTGAGCCAGTTTGATACATTGTTCTAAATCTCTGCTAAGCTATGTTTATCGAACTCATTTAGAGGAATATAGTTGTTTCTTACAAGACCCTTGTTGATGCTCAAAGATTATTAAACGTTTGTTTGGTTATCATGTAAAGTTAATTTCACTTATAGTGACATGTTTTAGTGTTAAATCTATGATTGAAATTAATTTCTATACACGTCTCCAACATATTCATTTCTACTGAAATTTAAAATGAATGGACACTAATCAGGTTACCAAAAGCCTAGAATTGTTGAAAAAAAAAACTGGTGGAAAAAAATGCTATTAGGTTTTAAAATAAACACCAAATTTCTTTCGGTGGACTCGAATGAGAGGGTACATGAACTTAAGATACGACATCTTGCAAGTCACGCCATTATTATTAAATGTATAATGGTCAAATACATCACACACTTGATTGCACACCAGCGACGTTAAACACATGAAGTAAATAAGATAACAAGTCGTGGTAGGAAGAATCAAAATGGAAAAAACACGTACACACACAAAAACACTTACTCCAAAGATGATAAAAAAAGCAAAAGAATCACTGAAATTCAAAATTGTGGAACAGAGTTTGTTACCGATTTAATTACTGCAGATTTAATGGGATGTTTATGGCTCCCTTTCTCCTTAAGAAGTTGGGAGAAATGGTGCTTGCGATACAAAAAGCCCTCAAGGGCTCTGCATAATTGAAAGGTGTCACGGGACAGAGACCATGTAAACATTTGAAACATTTGTGATAGGCTTGACCTTCCAATGTTATCTACACTCAACATGTGAGATAAACTTACTCATGACATGCAGAAAAATCAAGTCTCTAATGCAGGCTAATAGTGTGGACATAGCATATGACTATATTTAGAAACCCAGTTTACTCAATTAGGCAATTTATAAACGATTGAATTTACTTGCGGTTGTGAAAGTGTAAGATATATATAAATTAATTAGGCAATATACATGCAATGATACAAACATAAAATATTGACAAAGACAGAAAATACAAAGTCTCACTTGACCACTCACTTTAGTCATTTTTACTAATGTAGGGCTTACAAAAATAAAAAAATACAGAAACATTTGGAAGCTTCCATGATTAAACATATGGTGTCAACTTTACAGTTGCACAGAAACTATATTACTACTTCCAACTCTGGTATATTGAAACTCTGATGAATGAATGAAAATTTTCAAATGAAACTAACTGTGAATGCATGCAGGTAGCAATAGCATGAAGAAAGAAACACTAGAAAAAAACTAGATCCCGCCACATTCTAAAACTTGAAATCCTCCCCAACTAATTTTCTGTTACAGTTTTTTTCTTCCCTCTTTCACGGCCACAACAACCATGTTTCGCTTCTTCTTCATCTCTCTCACGTTTCTCTGCCTCCTCCCTCTCACCCTCCCCCACCCCTGCATCGGCATCACCTACTCCGCCCCCAGCGCATCCACTAACCACCCCTCCCAGGCGGCGGAGCGCATCTCCACTGCCCTCCGGCAGATGAACGCGAGATCCCTCCGGCTGGAAGACGCTGACCCCTCCATCACCCGGAGCCTCCTATACACGAACACCACGCTCTTCCTCACCATCCCCAACTACATGGTCTCGCAAATGGCCCAAAACCTCTCGGTAGCACAGTCCTGGCTGTACACCCACGTTGTCCCATTCTATCCACGTGTCAAAATCACGACCATCTCAGTAGGCAACGCCTTCCCGGACGTGCACCCGGAATCCCTGAACGACCTCCTCCCCGCAATCTCTAACGTCCATGTGTCCCTCCGCGACCTCGGCATCCGCAAGATCAAGGTGTCCACGTCATTCTCCTTCGTCACCGCCCTGTCATCCCCGTTCCCTCCCTCAAACGCACAGTTTCAAGAACCACCAGGGGTCACACTCTTCGGTCCACTTCTCCAATTCTTGCAGGACACAAATTCCTCGTTCTTGATCAACCTCTACCCTTACAACCTCTACCGTTTGAACCCTGAGATCCCCCTCGGCATCGCGCTCTTCCAAGAATACCCCTTCAACTTCCGCGACGACTTCACCACCGGCGTCCGCTACCGAAACCTCTTCGACGTCATGGTCGACGCCGTCATCTCCGCCCTTGCCGTTGCCGGCTACGAGAGCGTCCCCCTCGTCGTCACCGAAACCGGCTGGCCCAGCTTCAGCTCCTCCGGAAACGAGTTCGACGCCAACCTCGGGTACGCCGAGATTTACCTCAAGGGCCTCGTCAAACACCTCAAGACTGGAATGGGAACGCCGTTACTCAAGGACGGTGTACGCGAGGTTTTTGTCTACGAGATGTTCGATAAGGACGAAGGTAGGGAGAGGAGTTGGGGGGTTCTCTACGCTAATGGAACCGCCAAGTTCCGCGTCGATTTTTCGTGTTCCTCTCTTGCCTCTCATGTTCGTGTGGCGGTGATCATCGTTTTCTTGCTTTTCGTTATTGTGTGAGTTCTGTTATTTTTGTTATGGAAATTGTCCATGCAGAGTGACATGAAGTTAATTGGTTTTGTTTCTGTGTGTTTTGTATTTGTTGATTAGATTTTTGTTGTTGAATGTGTAGAGAATTGATGATATTATGTCATGATAGACAGAGAATACTGATACTAAATTTGTTGTATGAACATGGAATCTTTGGTTTGGTGACATAATAATGGTTTATGGAAGTCTTTTTATTTTTTGGATTTGGATAGGTTTTCTCACTTCATGAAATCAAAACTTCACCTGCACCATCACTCTTATGCGTTTTCCTACAAAACATTTTATTTATTTATGGAAATATTGTAAGAGTTAATTATTTTATAAGGAATATTATATTTTAAGTTCACCGTAATTTTTAAATTAATTTAAAATACATACAATTTTATTTAGATTTATCTATATGTGTTGTGTTTTCTCCTTGGCTTAACACTGGCAAAATCTGATAATTATTGTGTTACAAATTTAAAAATGGATAGGAGCATTACAATACAAGATAGAGCATGCTGTGGAATTGTCATGGTCCAACATTTTGGACCATATATGCATCCATAAAAATATTTTAAAAATTATATTTCCTCAATTACTCAATCTATTTTAAAAAATCCATTCCAAAATAAATTAAATATGACCCAAAAATCATATTGGATTAAACCCCCCAAAAAATCACCAATTTTTTTACCCAAAACAAATATCTAACAATTTTATTTATTAATATAATAACAATTTGAATATACTTTATGAAATCATTTTATGATTATTATATTAATAGACAAAATTGTTAAGTGGATGTCATTTTGGAAGTGATTGTCCATGTATCAGTATTGATGGTCCTATTCCTGCTTAACAATTTATTTTTTCTTTGATTTTTACTAATTGTTTTTGTGTGTGATTATTGTGATGTTTATAACTGGACTTTGATGGTCTAGAATCTAGGGGTGGCAAATGATGCATCACAGAGGTTTATTCTTGCTACATTTCTTATTGCACTCCCAAATTAAAATAAATTCTAATTTACATTCGTTACAGTATATTTTTATTTCTGAAACTTTTTTTTCTAGAAATATATTTTAAAAATTTAAAAATATATCCTAAATTAATTATTTTAAAATGTATTTTTGGATTGACTATTTTAAAAATATATTTTGAATTGGTTTTTCAAAACAATTAATCCAAAAATTATTTTAGAATATTTAGTCCATAATATAATTTTAAAATATTCAATTTAAAAATATATTTTAAAACATTTAATTTATAATATATTTCTGAAATTAATTCTTAAAAAATACATTTTAAATTAAGCATTTCAAGAATTAATTTTTACTAAAATACATTTTAAATTAAGCATTTCAAAACTCATTCTTAGATTCGAAATTATATTTTGGATTAAATAGTCTAAATTCTTATATTTAATTGAATTTTTATTTAATAAGTATAAAATATTAATAATTTTTTTATTTTTGTAGACTAAAAAACAGTCTTCAATGTGAAACCACTATAAAATGAAATGTGAAATGGTAGGAACTATAAAGTTATAGAGGAACGGAAGAGTAGAAGTTTAATGTTTCAAATAAAAATTAGTGAAAGGGTATTTCAGCTATTTTATATAAGTTGTAAGAGTGAAAAAAACCATGAAGGCATGAAGAAACAACCGTCATAAATGAACTCTTTGGGCCATATGTGCGTCCAGAAATAATAAGGTGGCCCTTATTTTGTTTAACCCTTAGCCCACTAAATGTAAAGTAAATACAACATAAAACTATGCATGAAGTTGGTACAAGTATTGAATGAAAGGATAAGGATTCCATGAAAGTAACAGAGGACAAACAAATCCAATATATTGTTTTCATGGTAGGGTATAACTCTAATTTGCATTCTATTCACATGTTACTATCGCTTTCCCCATATTCAATCTCTCCCAATTTAATAACAATACAAGTGGATGTCGTTCTTAATTTTTAATTCAAAATCTAAATGGAACCAGTTCACAAAAAATAAATTCAAAAACTAAAAAAAAAAAATTGTTTGTTTTTCAATTTTTTTTTTGGAGTTATTCACTTTTGAACACTCATAATGTTTAAAGATTAAAATATATTTTACTAAATTAGAGGATTCAAATTAACTTTTTTTTACTTAAATATTAAAAAATAATTTATCACAAATTTTAGAAACTAAAAATATAATTAAATTTATTTAATATTTATATATATCAAAATATGACAACAATTTTGTAATGTCGTTTTTAATTTTGAGATTATTAACCGGTTTGGATAAATTTCTCCCATAAACACTTGTATAATTATTTTAATAAGAGACAAGCATGTGCATGTGCATGTGCATGTGCGAGAGAATCAACTAATCAAAGACACAAAATTCAATAATCCTGTATCGTAGGATATGAAACAAATAATTAAGCAGCATCTATGCTCTTCTTTGCTGTTCAAATTTATCAAATATAGGGTCCGGAAGCAAAAATAATCTTATTCCTCTGTCTGCAACAGTCAAAGCATCCAATTGACTGCTGATGATACTTCTTATGCGGAAGCCCTTGGTTTGTATCACATTCCTTTGTCTAGAAAAGCACTCATTCCCTTTGGAAGAATCCTCGTCTTCTCTGCAAAAACATATACATCATACATATTGCATAAGATGGAAGTTCTTACGTATGTTTTCGGTATGCTAAAGAGAGCTTAACTATTGTTTTGTTGTCTATTCTTTTAAACATGGTTGTAGAATAAATCCACGAGATTTCAAACAGAGATTAGAAAATGGAACATCATCATCTTGTTGATAACGATGCTAACTAAGCACTGAAATCATTTGAGAATTCGTAAGACATAAAGGTAAAACATTCTTTCAATGTAAGCTTTAGCATCAAAATATTACAATACCTCATCATCAAGGAAGACCAGCCTCTAAATCCAGCAGAGAGAAGATGATTGATGGTGACATTTTGGTGTTTTCCATGCTCCCTGGATAACAAAATTATGGGCCATCCACCAACTTGAAGGTTCATGTATAATCTTAAAACAAGCATGCGCTTTAAATTCTTTGCCTCTAAGATACGATTGTCAATGCTGTTGTTATCATGAAAACCACAACAAAAGAAAACCATGTCAAGTTACTGCTAAAACTATGTGCATATCTGCATAAAAATACATAACAACAAGCGCTGGAAGTTGTATACATAAAAAGAAATATAATTCTGTAAACTGATGCAAGTTGGAGAGACCAAAAACTTGCATAAAATTTTTGGACACCATAATTCCAGCTGGCCATGATACAATTTTTATACCATCTACTTCTACAGTCGGGGAACATAAAGGAGGATTTACTAACACAATAAAAGACAAAGTTCATCAAGATTGAGATTACATGTCACTTCAAGAATTTCCCTGCAAAAAGTATTTCTTCAAAGTGGGAAATGTATTGTCTTAAAGAAAGTAGAATTTCTTTTACAAATACCCAAAACTGAACTAGCACATATAAAATTCCTCAGTGAGGGAAATTATGGCCTCAAACACGCCTGGAATAAGGTGGATGATAAGATTACCTTTGAAACAAATTGGAAGAAAGAGGATTTGAGGAAATGATGCCATCTATGTCTATCAACACCACATCAAGACCATCATCTGATGGTCTAGCATTGTTGAAGTAATCCTCCATTACAGACTTGGTTGAATCCAAGTCTCTAGCATATTGACCTCCCTTGATATACTGTATGGTCAGGTCCTTGCAGAGGCTAGGAAAATTATGTCCTTCCAAGTTATTGAGCTTAGCATGCAGAGAGTATACCTTGCAATAATTGTAGTCGTCATTTATATTCTGAAGCTCAATAATTCCAGCATGGCTACTTTGACAAGATTGCAGCATCATTGCCAGTGAAACCAATAAAGTAATTAATAAAAGCCCTGCAGCGGCTAATGCAGCAACAAGGATGGTTGCAACAAAGGATGTGAGGTAGAATCCTGATTCCAGCACAAAACTGCTTCTCCTCAACTCTGTAATCAGGAAAGAAACAGGATAAATAATCATCCAAATTATGCTAAAATAATAATTTGAAGGATAAATCTCAGCTGAAGATAAGATATCCGGGAACAAACTCTGTACTATCTATCTGGCCTCCAATGTGTGATTAAAAATACAATAAAATATAAATTCTCCTAAACATTCCTGTGCAAATTCTCTTATTAGATGAAGAAAGTATTGAATACTTCTTATGTTTCCAATACATTAAATATGTTAATGGGTAGGATCTACTATACATGATTATATTTCTTATTCATTTAGAGTCTAACAAAGATTCCGTAACATACCAGAACCACCTGAGAGACTGCGTGCAGAATACATCTGCTCCATTTGATGACCATAAGCAGACATAACTTCAAGCTGCAGCTAATATCTAAACAGTTAAAGCAGCACCAACAGCTAGCTTCCAGAACCAGAAATCAAAGGGGCATCCTGAAATTTTGGAGAAATTTTATCATCATTCAACAGTGACAAAGGAGCAAACCTGATGCGATTGGATTGCGATACGTTCTACTTTTGACATAATCAAAACTTACAAGCAAATACAGTGAACACCTTTCTTTTTCCTTTCTTTCTAGCCCTTCCGAAAAAGTTTTTTGACAATGAAACATTCAACAGAAAGGGATGAGGAGACGGGGAAGAAGCTATCACTCATGAGCCCAAATAACTGTTCAACAATTCCCTTTTCTTTTTCCATCAGAATTTTCCCTCCACTGAATCACCTGATCCTATTACAGAATGTAAACAACCCTTCAAATTACAGAATATAAAAGATGTAAGGTGTTAGATAAAACTTTCAGCTGGCACACGATCTGGGGTGTCTACAAGTTCCTAACCACACTGGCTTCCAATCACTCAGCACACAGAAAATAACTCAAATTGGTTCAAAACAAAGGTGGAAGAGAGAGTAGAGACTGACTGACCCAAAGAATGGTGTTTCGGTTTGTTGCATCCCAGTTGGCTTGGCTTCAAAAATCAAATCTTGTCAGAGATTTAACACAAGACAAGCAAATCATCCGTCTTGTGAATGTGAACAGTTAAATTGGTGACTTGGGAAGACAGTGAGAGAAAATAGCACCCAAGAAAGACATTATTGCACGGCAAAATGAATCATAGAAGGAAACAGAAGTTGACAACAATGAAATAGATTAAGAATGCCACGGGTATATATTTCGCCATTTTAATGTTCGATTTATTTATTTATTTATTTAACGTGTCTTTCCATGATTGAGGAGTGAGATAACTTCGACTAAATAGCAGTAAAGTCACTATAATCATAAGAGGATTCTTTCATTTTATCCTTTGTTTTGGGGAAAAAGCCACAATTTGGTGGTTTAAACAATTAAGGTGACCGAAATCATTACCGGTCAATTACCAATCAAATTGCAACACCACATCAAATTGTGTCTGAAATAATTGTGTCCAACTCCAATAGCGTAACAAAAACGTATTCACCAATTTAAGCACAATTAAAATACTAACCAAACATTAGGCACAAATCAAAATATTAAGAAGATTAATATACTGTACAATGTTGAAAAAACATGTAGTATTATTGCATACGTGTCATTGTCGTAGGTTGCTAGCCAGATTCTAGATTTGAAAGTCCCATGTAATAATAAAAGAATATTAGTAATAATAATAATAATAAATGATGCAAAATGATAAAGTCTGACAATTAGAATATGGTTACCACTATTAAAAGCAGATTTTTCAAACATGAAAATTATCGACCAATGCTCTCCTTTATCTCTACATTAGTAATATTGAAAAAATTAACAACACTGTCTCTACTTTCTTACGATAAGATTAAATTCTCGTCCTAACCTCACTAATACAGAATGAAGCTACGTTAATAAATAATAACATGTTGGAAACAATTTTGAAACCAAATATTAGTGGAATATTTGCAAGACGCAGAGGTTTGTAAACATTTGAATAGTCATTATAGAAGAAAAAAGATTTTTTTTTTTCAAAACAAAAAATTAATTTCTTTCTTCTCCATAGTTAAAGATTCTTTACTTGACAGGATAGAAAATGTAAACTACCTATCAACCATAAATTCCGAGGTTACAACTAAGCCAGATACGATAAAAAAAGTTCATATCTCTAACATAACATGCTTTTAAGAATTGTCGTCTAAAGAAACAAATTAAGCACAATGAATCTGAGTTAATGAATTATAATAAAGTTGAATATTTAAATTTTACAAACTGTATAACTCTTTTACATTTTGTCAAAAATGATTAGACAAAAACCCATAAAAGGTACAGTTTTAAAAGAATATAATTTTAATACTCGATTAATATAATTTGTTTTACATCCTGAACATAAAATACCCAAGATATAACTTCTAAAATAATTATTATAAAAATAACAAATTTCATTTCTTATACTCTAGGATTTGATTGCAGGATGTCAATATTTCACTTAATTCTTTGAAAGGACCTAGGCTCTATTTGTTCCTGGGAAGGGATAAATATAATCTTCAAATGCAAGTAAATTACTTAAGATATTTGAACAAGAAATTTCAAAAAGCCATTATGGACTCCATAGGGTGATATACCCACAACAACATGAAATATGGCAACAAAAATGAATATATAGATTTAGATTTGGCGCATCCTTTATGCTTCATCAGACCTATGTAATTCAGGTCTGGCACTTCAAACTCGTAGAGTATAATATAAGTTTCCTATGTTACAAAATCCTTGACACCATTCTATATCAAAATGGTTTTGTAATCAGGGAATTTCATGTACTTTTTCTCTTTCCCCACATGGAACATCTTATTTAAATGTTCATTTATCAACTAATAGCCATATGGTGAATGGATGGTGAGGATGCAAAATTGCCTTCCCAATAGTCTCATTAACTAAATCATATATTGAGAAAACTGCTTCAACCACTTGTTTCCTAGATATTCGACCCATTCACAATATTCACCGCATTTTCTACTGTTCTGGCCAATTCAACAGCTGCCCCAACATAAGTATCAGGTGTTAACTTCAGCAGATTTGTCTTTGCTTCTTCTGGAATATCTAAGCCTTCAATGAAGTCTCTTATGCTCTCTTTGTTAACGGTTCTCCCTCTGGTTAGTTCTTTTAGCTTCTCATAAGGCTCAGGAACACCATATCTTCGCATAACCTGAACAAAATTTGCAAATGATTATACTAGAACAAATCTTTAAGGGAATGACAACGAGCAACATCAAGAGGAATGATTACACATGAATCCAGTACACAATTCTGGACAATTCATTTAAGTCAACGTTGCAGAGGTTAGAGATGAAACAAACAAGAAATCAAACTAGAATAGAGGAGTCTTTGAAGGTGTTTGCAGAGGAACCAGCCAATTCTCATGGGTTGTAGCATCATTCCTACTAGGCCAGTATTTCAGAGTTGAAGCACAGACTTAACAAGCTACTGAAGAGTCAACAATTTTTTTTCTTGAGTAGGAATTAGGTGAAAAATGAGGCAAGGGTCAAGTGGAGGGGTGGGCCTCTGAAATAAGGGAAGGCTGGAGGAGTAAAAGAAATCAAACAGCAGCTAGAAAGAAGGTTGCCGAAACAAGGTATCAATTTGGAGGATATTGAAATGATTGATTGTAACTGTGTTATGTTCACAAATTAGCACTCTTATTTTTAATGAAGGAGATATAATAATAAGGAACAAAACAATAATTAATAAGAAATATTTATTTGAAGTAATAAAATCATATCATATTTCCCTAATATAATCAAACAGTAAATAAGTGCATGGAGGGGAGTGTGTCAAAATGCTACGATGAAATTGTTGGACAAGGTTAATTATAGGAATCTAGGACAAGAAGATGACTTCACTACCTCCAAAGGCTGCGCAGAGCGATAAAGGACCAGAAACTGAACAATACAATAAAGTGTTGGATGAGATGATGATATCAATGGAATCCTTGAAGTCAAAGAAGGGTCTCACTTTCTTGGGAGAAGAACTACTCAGCCCACCATCATTTTTGGAACCACCAAATGCAGAATATACCATGGTGGTGGACATTGCTGTCAGAGGCACTGGAAATGGGGAAGCTGGATTCAAGAGTCCCCAGGTGAAGACTATCTTAATGAGCTCTGTTTTGGACTCCAGTAGTGGTGGGCCTCATACAACCCAAATGGTTTTGGAACTGCTTCACCTAAGAAAATTCAAGAATAAATTGTGCAGAGCCCATTTAACAGTGCATTGGGTACCGTACAGAATGCAAACAAGGGAGCACTAACAGGTGGCTGCAGTGTGATTCAGTTGACTTCAAAGCCCACTGAAAGTCTTTTGTCAAAATATGTAATATGGAAATGGGAGTACTACATGGGGGTAAATTTTGGGGAGACAGTGACGTTAAATCTATATATTATCAGTTTTCACTTTCAACCTCGAAATCTAAGGGGGATGGTATTGTTACAACTGTGGCAAAGGGGGAGTTAGGATAGTTACAAATTTAGAATATTAGTTGGTTAGAGTGAGTTGGTGCAATAAATAAATACACTGAAGGGAGGAAGGGAATGCCTTCAGATATGTTATCATCTGTAAATTGAGTATTAGCTATCTGAGAAAGGAAAACCAGCGGAGGACAGTTCTCTCTCTTTTGTTTGTTCTTAATCAATCAAGAAATACAATCTCTTTCCTTTACTCCTTTTTATGTTCAGTTTTCATAAACGATGACAATAAATCCAAGACTGAAAGCTAAAACTGGCACATTGATCTTCTCCAAGATTTAGTATATCTTTAACTTTTGTTGTGCAAAAACATTTGAAGGATTTAGGGTTTGTATTACTTTGACATGTTTTGCTAACATTTAATTGTTTCAGAAACAGATTGAGCACACCTTTCTTCTCCAAAAGCACATTAACTAGTAAATCATATTATTTTCAACGTGAAGTTAAAAGAATAATTTGCTTCTTTTGTTCTACTTGAACTGCATCAAGTAAATCATCAACACAGAGCTCAAGTCTAAATTAAAAAATGATTCAATACTTACAGTCTGTATTGGTTCAGCAAGCACCTCCCAGCACTGGTTCAAGTCTTCACTCAAACGAGCTTCATTAACCTAAATTGTCAATTAAAATATTACAAGAAACCTCAATGAAAATACCAAAACCTACTATCTTTTCTCTAGATTTAATAGAAAGTTTGAGATACTTGCTCCATAGTTATGAAAATAGTCAGTGACAGGAACTCTACATGTGCATCCTTGTTATAGATGAAATTATACTATAGGTGAAATTAACAGTTGAGATAACCAAGACATATCTAATAATGCTTTGTTTTCAATAAAAAATGGATAATTATGCAATAGTAGGAGAAAAGCAACATAAATCTCATTTTGTGCTAAATACCTGAAGCTTCCCGATTCCCTGAAGTGTGCTTTTGTAGGCAAGGAGTGAATGACCGATACCTACACCCATGTTCCTTAAGACAGTTGAATCAGTCAAGTCCCTCTGCAGAAAAATAAACGTGTAACTGTCACTCAATTATGCTCAAAGATCAATAGATTACAGTTAAGTTATCAAATCAAGATTCAAATAGGATAAGTTCAATAGTTTTCCTTCAATTCATTTTCATTTAACAATTAAAGCTTACATGACTTTTTAATACCTTTCTTGAGAATTGGTGAAAGAAAACTAACAAAAAAAAAAAAGTCTTCGAATCATCTTTTTGTATCGATGAAATTCATCTTATATTACAAATTTCTAGCTAGCCAAATTGCACTACGGATTACAACCTCTCAGTTAGCTCTTTCCACATTCTTTGACGGTGTGTGTGGGTAGGTACATAAAAGCACACTAAACAATTTCCAAAAGATATATTAGTAAAATCCTATTGGCATCATAGTTTAGAATAATAGCAATTCCACAAAAGGAAAAAAAAAAAACAAACTACAGTAGGTCTTGCCTGCCATCGTGATATCGGCAACTTCATGCTTAGATGGGACAGACCTCCATTAGCTACACCTAGATTACCTTCACTGTTCTCAAAATCAATAGGATTAACTTTATGAGGCATAGTTGATGACCCAATTTCCCCAGCCTTAGTAATCTGCATTAAAAAAAAATGAAAATGAAAAAACATTATTTTTTGCTTGGAACTATAACACCATTCTCTGGTTATAGCTGCTAAATTAGAAAGCTCACCTGCTTAAAGTAACCCAAGGATATATAGCCCCATACATCTCTATCAAAGTCAATCAATATATTATTGAACTGGATGAGCGAATGAAAAAGTTTTGCCATGTAGTCATGAGTTTCAATCTGTTAACAAAGTAGAGTAATATAATCAGCAACGTACATTAAATTATCATCTCAAGTTGGTATGATCAGATGATCATTAAATAATAGTCCAACTTACTTTGATTATGTACGTACTCAAGATATTACTATAATAAATAGAACTAACCACTAAAACTAAAATGTGCTCCATTAACAGTCGATGAAATTTTCTAAAACAATGTATTATGGACATACCGATAGAGATGGCAGAAGTCTAAAAATATTATATAACTGCTGACAAACTCAAGATTTAGTTTTCAATGTATTTCTAAATAAATTGCATAAATGTGGTAAACTTGAACAGGGGAAAAAAAAAATGTTAGAACCATACCTGAGCAACGTAAGGATTAAAACTTAATCCAAGAGAATGTACAAACTGTTCTGCAACATAAGGCCAGTTAACATTGGGATATGCAACAACATGTGCATTGTAATTTCCAACTGCGCCAGCAAATTTGCCCAATATCTCAATCTGAGACAGATCCTTCCTTTCTCTGCTTAATCTTACAGCAAAGATCGCCAGTTCCTTGCCCAAAGTAGTTGGTGAAGCTGGCTGGTGAGTTGGCAGAAAAATTGCAAAGTTCAAACATGATTGTTTATCAATGAAGAACTAACAACTGAAAGAACAATAAACACTAATAAACTGCGAAATTGTTTAAAAAGGAACTGCCAAGTATCTAGCACCTTTCATACAACAGAAGTTCAATAAGCTAAAAACCAATTGTTTGCCACTTCAAAGTCAAGTATTTGAAATAGCGGAGATGTAAAGTTGGCTTGGTGGTAAAAGTGGAAGGGAGGGAGATAGGTTCCACTAATAAAATTGAACAAATGCACAAAAATACATACCTGTCCATGAGTGCGAGAAAGCATTGGAACATGTGCATTATCTTTAGCCATGTCACACAAAGCTTTGACTATTTTATCCATTACAGGAAACATGACAGAATTCATTGTTTCCTTCAGCATCAAGGCATGGGCAAGATTATTTATATCCTCGGATGTGCAAGCAAAGTGGAAAAACTCAAGCACCTGCAAAAAGGTTTTAGAATGATACAATCCATCAGAATCGTAATCAAAACATAAAGCAGTGCATAGGCTCAGCACAAAGTGAACCTCAACCTTAGCCACTTCAGCATTGGATTGACATTTCTGTTTCAAGAAGTACTCCACCGCTTTCACATCATGATTTGTGACCATCTCAATGTTTTTAACCTCCAAGGCATCATCAACACTAAAGTCATCAATCAGGCCTTGTAAGAAAGACTTAGCACTCTCACTGAAACTGGGAACCTCAACAATTTCAGGAATGAAAGACAGCTGCAGCAACCATTTTATCTAACAGGAAGCAATAATAATAATAAAAAAATTGAATCAACAAACAACACCAGAAAGCAATAATACTCAGAAGAAAAAGTTCAAAACAGAAAATACGAAAAAGTTCTTCAGTCAAAAGGGTCTAAAAGAAGAGGGGAATCAACAAGAGGGTACCTCAACAAGAACCCGAAAGTAGATTAAGCCATATTCACTCAAATAAGGAGCCAGTTCCTTGACTTTGCCCCAATAACGACCATCTAATGGGGACAAAGCCGTCAAAGCAGAGAGTTCAATATCAACGGAGTGGGCTCCAAACATTTTGTGGGTAGAGGTGGGGGTGTGGGTGCTGAGGATGGCTTTGCAGGAGCAAACTCTGCGAGAGGAAGAAGGGAAAGAAGCATAGCAAAAAGGAAGAGGGTGGTGTTGGGTTGAACTTTGAAGGTTGGTTCTGAGAGGGTTGAAGTTCCCAAGTTGGGTAGCGCTGGAGACTGCCGCGAACTCCATGAAAGGCTTTGGAGGATGAAACGCACGAACCCTTTCACGCAGTCACACTCAGACTCTCTCCCTCTTCATCTTCCTGGGAAAACACAGTACAAACAATACAGCAATTAACAAATTAAATTTTATTCATTAATCATTAATGTAATATACTTTTAATATATATTTTGCATCCTTAAATAAGTTTTTTTTGTTTTTTTTTTATAGCTTTATACACTTTTAATATATGATTGGATTAATTGAATAATTATCTCAAATAATAAATGCTAGTATTATTTTTAAGAATTACTTTTGGATGGGAATATTTTAGAATTTTCTTTCTTTGATGATATTGCTTTAAAACAACACATTTAACCTTTTACTTTCAAGATATCATTTTTCAATTTTTAAAATTAATAATTAAAATTAAGTGTAATATAAATTATTTATCATACATTTAAAATATATTTTAATGTGTTTAAAGCTATTTATTCATTATGATGTTTGGCTAAAGTATAAATTGTATATGCAAGATTATCTAAGATAAACATTTGTCACGAGTAGCGTATAAATTAAAATATTAGTATAACTTATATAATTAAAAATATTTTAAGGAATTTAAATTATAATATATTTTATTTAAAAACTGTTAACTTAACTTTCAATTACATAAAATAAATATATATTTGTACGGCTCATTGTCATATGCAATAATATTTTCCCACTATTCGTATTTGTATTATTTTAACTTATTTTATTCTTTTATTCCTAATCAGTCTTATTCTAAGCGTCCTTTGAAATTTTGAAAGATCGAAAAAAAAAAAAATTTTCAGCATGGCTAAATTGTAGGTCTAAGCCCAAAATAACTTATAATAACTATTCAGCTAAAACTAGGGGTGTTTTGCGGTTAGATTTAGATTGCGTTTACTTTTATCATAAAATTGATAAATACTTTTTTCAATGTTGTGATTTTTTTAATAATTATTATAATATAAAATTAATTTTCTCTCATATTTATAAGTAAATTACATAATTATATAATTATAATTATAATAAAAAAATATTAGTATAAATATACTATAATAGTATAAAATCATAAATAATTTTTGAAAAACATATTATTAATTGTTAATTAACTTCAAATATATAATTTTATATTTAAATATGATAATTTAATTTAGTTTTTAATTTTTAATTTGAATTGAATCAAATGGTTTGGTCGAGAAAACTAGAAATAAAAAAAGGGTGATGAAGTTGAGAAAAAGTTTTGCACATATCAATGAAGCTGAAGGTTAAACTCAACATGATTGAGAAAAATAAAAATCATGCATAAGGGCTTATGAATGCCATAAAAATGAACGTCCTTGATAGTTAAAGGTGAGAAAGGGGTCTCTCGGATAACAATTATGAGCAAAATAAAAGAAAGTCACGTTTGAAAGTTCAAATTAAAATTGGGTGTCCACAATGAAAGGAGCATTGTTAAAGAAAGATGTGTAACTAATTACATTTGAAAATAAATAATTTAGTATTCGGAAAATTTTGTTCTGTTTCAATTTTTCAAAGTATTGTTCAGGCAAAAATTAAGATATTAACTATTATAATATTAGGATTATGAATGTTTTGAAAATGAATATATTTTCCTTATGAAAAGTATTGTTCTTGAAAAACACAATAGACTTAATCCCAGGTAGCCCAATAAATGAAGTCTTGCTGTTAAATAACTGTTCATAACAACCTTGTGCGCAGGTTATTCCAGTATCCCATTTTTACCGAGAATTAGGACCTTTGGTTTTCAGCTCAATAATATACAGGTTAGTTATAATTTATATGATTAAGGTAAGAAACTGTTTTAGACTAAAATTTTGTAAATATACTGTATATAATATGAACTTAGAATTTGATAGTATTTTAAGATAAAATTATTCAATAATACTATATAAGGTATAGTTAGAACATCACAAAAGTAATCATGATAATGTTAATAATTTAGGCATCAAATGGTGGAAACATCTAAGTCTGGCCTAGGAGTTATCAGTTTAGAAATGAAAGCACCAGCACGGTTTTTGTCTTTTTCTGGAAAAGAACATTGGAATTCTGCCTTGGATACCTCGATTGCTTAGTGAGATAGATGATGCATTCCTATGGTATAACGATAACAAATTTTTGCACCAGAAAAGCTGACTTTCTAGCTTTTATCAACATAACTTTCAGCTAAGTATGTGTAGGCTCTCCACTTATATTAATGCAAGTTGCTGTTATATTTCTGGCTGAGGACTGATAAGGAGCTAAAGAGTTGTTGGTAGCATGCCATCATGACCCTTCATATAAAAGTGCAAGTGATTACTAGATGAATCAGTAAAGATATTTCCAATTAATTAAAGCTATCAATCCCAAAGCAGGATAGGATCATAGAAGTAAACATGGTATGCATATATGTCCTGATTTCATTCAATAGTCACTGAGTCACATTTTTCTTTGCAATTTATACATACTGTTGAATGATTGTATATTTAATTTCCTTCTTTTTAAGTGCTTATAGACTGAAATTTCTGGTACTTATTCTTTTGATATGGTTAGAGATTATTTTAATCTTCATTCATGTCTGCAGGCTATTGAAGTGGGAAATGGTAAATGGCATGGTTCAGTTGGTGGCATAGTTTGTGCACCTATTGACAAGGTTTGGACCTTGGTCTCTCAAACTAAAAGACTACCTGAATGGATGCCAATGGTGGAAAGATGCTCTTCTCTGGCTGGAGATGAAGATGAACCGGGCTATGTTAGGCTAGTTTCAGGTTTCATGTTTCCTCAAGAAGACGGAGAAAGGTCATGGATCAAGGAGAGGTTGGTTTCGCTGGACTCATCATCGCATAGCTATGCTTACAGAATGGAAGCTAGCAATGTAGGTTTAGATGGATCTATGAACTCACTTAAACTGGTCGACTATGGGGATGAATCAACTTTAATTCACTGGTCTTTCGGGATAAACCCTTTAGAAGATGTATCTGAGGGGAGCATAGTGGATTATCTTGGATTTCTCTACAAATCTTGCATCAATAAGATTGAGGGTGCCATAGAAGCTGAATCAAGAAATGTTTCACCTGCATAGTGGAGTCATTCTCCATCCTTTTCTTTCCCCTTAAGATAAAATTTGGAGTCTTGATGTGAATGATGAATAATAATTGGCTGGTGATTCTAACAATCTAATATTTCAATTCTCATTGACTATTCCTTATAAGAAGTTTGTCTTTGTTATCAATTGTCCTTTACTAAGAGAATAGAATCTTAATCATTCTGAAAACATATTAATCGGTGAAAATTTTAATAGTATTAATTAAATTAACCAACTTTTTAATTCTAACGAAATTATATCAGCTATTGCTTCTTTGCTAAGTAGTCATATTTCATTGATTCGAGTGAAAGAAGTAGAATAAACCAATTAATTGAAGCAGAAGCAGTCAATTACACACTCCATCTTCTACTTTCGATACAAATGAGTTTTTCCAATATATATTATAATATTGTATGTTTTTAAAGCTATAAATAGGCTTCATGTACAAACTATCTTGTAAATGAAATTTTCAATTTGAAACAGTTGTGTTAAATTTCTTCCTCTCATATCCTGCTTCCGTGTATGAATTTAGTTTACTGCTATTATATCTCACGGAAATCAAAGTTAAAAGGGTCTAATTATATAAGACTAGAGATATGCATGACAAAGAAATCACTTGGTAAATGGATATTCAAATTATAAAATGACAAAAAAATGTAATGATTCAGTTTTTAAAGGAGAGAGTTGAGGAAGGGGAAATAATTTATTTAACAAAGGAGGCACAGTTTTGGAAGGTAACATTAAAGTGACAGTACCATTTACCTTTCTTGCTGGGGTTCAATTACTTTGTTGTTAAACAGGTTTAGATAATTTTTTTGTTGAATGTTATAAAATACAGTCAAAAAGATGTTTCTAGTGTGATTGTCTCAACTATATTTTTATATGTAAGTTATGTGAATAGGGCTTTGTGTCATTTTCTTAGGGCTTCAACTTGGGGTTTAGCCAATTGTTTACTTGTAAAGGAATTTACTCACCTTTTTCTACGAAAGAACTTCCTTAACTTCAACACCTGAAACATTGTGCCCTTTCATATCCTTTTAGTTCTGAAGTTTGATGATGACCTATGAAAAAATTTACGAAGACAGAGTAATAAAAAAAATCAAGTGCAAATGGTATCACCGGCAAATAACTGAATACTCTTGCAATTAATGCAATATGAAAATTTGTCATTTACAAAAAAATTATGGTTTAGTCATAAACCATGTGGTTGACGCAATAACACACTAACTCTTTTTGTAAATTGAAAAATGATATAACGCGTTTGATTGGAAATTGGTTGAACCATACAATAATTTCTGTCTTTAACCATGTTATTCCACTATTTTTAACCCCCGGGGCCCTCCTTCTACTTTGCTTACTGAATGAAGGCAACTGAACTATTGGGTAGGATGCTTATTGCGTTGGTTGGTTCCTTTTCTTCCGTGGCTGTATTTAATCTTGTAGCATACATATCCCTTTGCAGGTGGCTATGTAATGTGTTTGTTTTAACAGTTAGAAAGGAGGTGGCATCTCTTTCAACCAAACTTAGTTCACATTTCAAATCTACACAAGAAAACAGTTAGAAGTCCTTAACCGTGTATTGATTACTGATTTTGCGAGGTATGAGGATAAACCTTTGTAGCAGTGGTGATTGATCAAATCCTTTTATTCCAACCAAGTAAAGAGTTTAGAATGATTGAGGCTTATTTAACAACGCCAAAAATGTGAGTTTTGAACATCTTGGGCGGGGAAAGTGATTTTAGTGAAGTACAAAAGCAGCATCTTTTGGCAAAGAATCATAAAAACCGCATTGAAAAAGATGCGCCATTTGAATCATTTAGTTGGTTTTGATGGCACAAGATTGTGCGTGTAATTGTCTATATTCTTAAACTTTGAAACATCCAATCAAGGTCATGAAGTGGATGAGCTGAAAATCATAGCCCAACCACAAAAATTTCATGTTGATGACATCTTCAAGTCTCTCTCTAAATGTGAATTAATGAATCATTACCCGCTGCTACAATCCTACAGTGCATGGTGTATCTTCTGGAAGAGAGGAGTAGACCATCAAATAAACACATACATGGGAAAAAGATGGGTAAGAAAATTAAGAAACATGCTCTTGGTAATAATAAGAAAAAATATGAAGTATTTGCAGCTGAGAAGTATTTTTCATATCATAGAAGGGTTTCTGTCGGCTGAAAATAGCATAAATGTCTTTCATCGAAGTGGACAACTAAGGACTACATTGTGTAGCATGCAAGAAAACTTTGTAACGCTTAAAATACATGACTAGCATTATTTTATAGTCACCTACCACTTGTAAAACGACATGGCATCATAGATTGTTCCATTATAAGGTAACTTGGTCATGTGTTAGCATTCCAAAGAGAGGAGACTAATAAGGGCCAGGGAAAAATTCAAGAGACAGACAAAAGCATTAATAGCTCAAGAGAATGGAGTCACGCCTTCTGACAATATTTCTGGTGGCTCTCTCATTCTCACCATTTGTTCAATCCTTGGTGCGTCATTACAAGTTTAGTGTAAGTACTGCCTATGTTGACACTGCCCAACACAAGTGAAAATTACTGAAAGTTCTACTGATATGATAAAATAATATCATAAATCATGATTTTCTAGGCATTTGACCAATACATGTTGGTCGATTTGTACAGGTGGTCTTGAAGAATACCACAAAGCTTTGCTCCACAAAATCATTTGTCACAGTCAATGGACAATGTCCAGGGCCAACTCTCTACGCAAGGGAGGATGATACTGTACTTGTAAAGGTCACTAACCATGTCAAGTACAATATTACAATCCACTGGTGAGAATTTCCATTCCTAAATAAATTGCAAGGAACTGAGAAAGTTGGCAATAGAAAAATTGACTAGATCATAAATTGTGGACCATGACAGGCATGGAATCAAACAGCTTCGAACTGGTTGGTCTGATGGGCCAGCATATGTGACACAATGTCCGATTCAGCCAGGGCAGAGCTTTGTCTACAACTTCACCATCACAGGTCAAAGAGGCACACTTCTCTGGCATGCACATATCACTTGGCTAAGAGCCACGGTGTATGGTGGCATTGTCATATTGCCTAAACGAGGCATTTCTTATCCATTTCCCAAACCAGACAAAGAAAAGATAATCATTCTTGGTAAGTTCTATGATAGGATTCGGACAAAATTGGTTTTAATCTCAATAATGGTAGTTATTTTAAAATTTGGCGAATTTTGTCTTTGGTCATTTCATGTTGACTTGACTAGAGAAGAAACTCACCCCATTTTCTAAAATACAAATACTAAATCACTGCTTTTAAAATATAGGAACTAAAATTAATTTTGAACAAATCGTGAAACAACATACTTTACCATTTGTTATTGATCTAACTTTGTTCCTTATCACTTGTACGTTATATTCCTTTGTATTAACTTTGATTTCTATGATTTACAGGTGAATGGTGGAAATCAGATGTTGAAGCAGTGCTGAATCAGGCTGAAAGTTCTGGTCTGCCACCGAACATATCAGATGCTCATACCATCAATGGTCATGCAGGACCAGTTCCCGGTTGCACCTCTCAGGGTATTTATTGATATAATATAACGGGGTTTATTATAGACTAACTATTTGTTTTTCATAATTTAACGTTATTACTTTCTATGTAAGTCTTATCAATGAATTTTTAATCAAACAGGAGTGAATGGACATACGAGTGAATTGCGAAGAAGTTATTGGGTAAATGATTCAGCGTGAATAGTTGTAAAATTCTGGATAATATTGAAATTAAGAAAAGCTAAAATAAGTCTCTCAATTACTTTTAACATTAATATAATAGAAAAATACAATTTTAAGAACTAAATTTTTCATTTACTCAGATTATTTTAAGAGACAAAAAGACTGTCTCAATATTCTATTTTTTGTGTTTATTGGTTCATAACTTTCAGCATTTTTTTTATGTAGAGATAAACCTTAATACAGTTTTTTTTTTTTTTTAAGTTTCACTTCGAAAACTGCATGATAATAATTTGCATAAAAGGTTCATATAAAACATGATCGATTCCCTTACCTTATCTATTTCTGGTTTTTAAAACTGTTTACCAAAACAATGACTATTTTAAAAATCAGAATACAGAAATGGGTTAGGAAATATTTTCTCATCATCTTAAATTTTTATCTTGTATATGTTTCTAAATGTTTAGACAGATCCTGAAATATAGAACTTAATTAAACTGTGCAGGTTACACTCTGCATGTTGAAAGTGGCAAGACCTATCTTCTGCGCATCATAAACGCTGCTTTGAACGATGAACTCTTCTTCAAAATTGCCGGGCACAAGCTAACAGTGGTTGAAGCAGATGCATCCTACGTTAAACCTTTTGGGACAGACACAATATTCATGAGCCCTGGCCAAACCACCAATGTCCTATTAACAGCTAACCAAGGTGTTGGCAAGTACTTAATAGCAGTTACTCCTTTCATGGATGCCCCTATAGGCTTTGACAACGTTACTTCTATTGCTACACTTCGCTACAAAAGCACAGCACCTTATCCCAAAACAACTCTAACCACCATTCCTGCACTGAATGCCACTCCTTTAACTGTTGACTTCATTGATTCCCTAAGAAGCCTTAACTCAAAAGAATACCCTGCAAGAGTTCCATTAACCGTTGACCACTCTCTTTTCTTTGCCATAACTGTTGGCCTTAATCCATGCAGTGCTTGTCTCATTGGGAGCAGGCTTGTGTCTGCTATTAACAACATCACCTTTCTGTTGCCAACAACATCACTTCTTGAAGCACATTACTACAATGTCAAGGGTGTTTTCACAGATGATTTCCCTGCACACCCTCCTGTTGTTTTTAATTATACCGGTACTCAACCGGCTAATATTCAGACCAATAATGGCACAAGACTGTACAGATTGAATTTCAATTCAACTGTTCAAATTATTCTCCAGGGCACTGCAATGTTAGCCCCAGAAAATCACCCCTTTCATTTGCATGGCTACAATTTCTTTGTTGTAGGCCAGGGGCTGGGGAACTTTGATCCAGAGAAGGATCCATTAGGCTTTAATCTTGTTGACCCAGTTGAGAGAAACACCATCGGGGTACCAAATGGTGGGTGGGCAGCAATCAGATTCAGGGCAAATAACCCAGGTAGTTACTAATAACTTTCTATGTATGTTTTTTTTTTTCTCAAAATTTTATCATATAATGATTATGCATAATTTCCTTTAGATCTAGTATTATAACATTGTAGAAGGTTTTACTCCATCAATCAATCGGAAATAACTGTATATACGGTGAGTTTGTTGATGTATGAAATAATTATTTAAAGAGTTTTGCCTAACCTACTTTTGTTTTTTCTCTGTTAAATCTATTACAATGACCATACATGAAAACTAAAGTTTAGTGTCATCTTCTAGTTACTGCTGCCTAAATTGATGTTTGTAATGTGTGAACTGTAAAGGTGTTTGGTTCCTGCATTGCCACTTAGAAGTACACACCACATGGGGACTGAAGATGGCATTCATAGTAGACAACGGCAACGGTCCAATTGAGTCCTCGCTTCCACCTCCAAAGGACCTTCCAAAGTGCTAAAGTTTCTGAAGAGAAAGGAATGGATTTTGGAATTTGTGATAGACAACCAGAGTGTAGATTATTACACTGGAGAGGTGATGTCACGGCCTAAGGGGAAGGCATCAAATTGTTTGTGAAGTTGGATTTGTAGCAGAAAAAATCAATAAAATACTTGATGTAGATAATTCAAAGATGTTTTTTTTTTTTTATATTGTCAGATCAGGATAAAACATGTAAGTTTTGGGTTCATAAAATGTGATGAATGTGCTTGGTAAAACTTCAATTTGGTAAAATGGTTTTCTAGAATTCATATTATTTCCTTATACTGTTCAACTTATATTTGCTTCTAATTGTCCTAAGCATGCTAACACATTTACTCATATTATTACTAAATTTTTAAAAATTACTACTAAATTTTATCTTCTAAACTTTAAAATTATAACATCTTATCTTTACATCAATTGCCTATTAAATTAATAACTATGTGATGTGAGATAGATTCTACGGATTCTACGTTACTCAAATTTAACAACTTTGTATATTTTACTACTAAATTTTTTAAAATTTTGAAAGTAAATAAATGTAAAAAAAAAATAATACGCGCCAGGTAGGGGTCGAACCTACGACCTTCTGCTTAGGAAACAGACGCTCTATCCACTGAGCTACAAGCGCATTTTTGATACATTAAAATATATTTTTTATATTAATATTATTATCTACAAGTATATAAAAAATTCTAAAGTTCTTTATACTTTATAGTAGATTGAAAAAAAAAAATATATATATATATATATATATAATGATTTTATAGATTTTTCTATACATGTATTTGTCTTATCACCTTAATTTTAGCGAAGAAAACTTTATTTAATTTGGTCAAATGAATAAGATTTGTAGGTTGACTAATAAAATGATTTGATTGTTATGACTAGATATGTCAAAAAATTTTAAATAATTTAAGAATAGAAGTCAAAGATCATTTGTATTTCATCCTTTAATTTATTGAAATATTTTTTTAAAAATAAAATGGCAATAAAATTATTGAATACTAAAATAGATAATACCATTTTTACTATTTTTAAGCAGGAGGGGAACTGTACTTTCCCCTGAAAAAGTTTGTGTATTAATTTCGCTAATTTTACCCTTATCTTTTTTAAACTTGTTTTATACCGTGATTTTAATTAAGAATGAAACTTTGTGGTTAGTAGGTGATACGACTAGCCAGTGTAACACCCAATTCCCTACCTTATTAGCTTAACAAAAACCCTTAGATTCACTGCATTGTCTCTCTCTTTGCTTTTAAAGTTTGCTTGGTCACCAAGAAACGACAAAAGGTAACTGTTTTCTACTTTTTGCTGATTGCAAATAATCTATCTCTTTTCTCTATTGGATCATAGCTTTCAGCACCTTCTTCCTCATAGTTTCTCTCTTGTCGTGGACATCAACTTTGTAGGATCTCCTTATATAAACCTTATTTTCTTTTTGGTGGGGGTGAGAGTTGCTATCTTATTCCTGGTTTCATCCACTAGACACCAACATCGTTGCTGTTTTAGCTTCAGAATTCGTTATACTCACACGCCAAAATTCTGGTACACCATGATTTTTCCAAGATTTTGTACGAATCTAAAAGGTATGGCTTTTGTAGATTCTCAACTTTATCTTGATCATACGCGCAAAAGATTCTGAAATTTGTGCACCTTGTGAATCAAACCTCTATAATTTCCTTTTTCTTGTGTTTCTCTCCTGTGTTTTATGAGCACCCCTTTCTAGTTCCTCTCCATTTCCATCTCTTTAGGGACTTGACTCAGTTAGAGTTTTTGTATGCTTGTGGTTTGAGGTATGGAATTGGAAACCCTCTACCCCCCCTGTTTTATGCCAAATTCAAATTGGTTTGTGGAAGAGAGCCACAGCACAGAATGGACTAGAGAGGATAACAAGAAGTTTGAAAGTGCCCTTGCTATATATGACAAGGACACCCCAGATAGATGGTTCAAGGTGGCAGCCATGATCCCTGGGAAGACTGTGCTCGATGTGATCAAGCAGTATAGGGAATTGGAAGAAGATGTGAGTGAAATTGAAGCAGGGCGTGTTCCAATTCCTGGTTATCTTGCCTCTTCTTTCACCTTTGAGCTGGTTGACAACCACAACTATGATGGATGCAGAAGAAGGCCTGCACCTATCAGAGGTTCTGATCAAGAGAGAAAGAAAGGAGTCCCCTGGACTGAAGAGGAACACAGGTGAGTTTCACCAATTTAAAATATCCAGTAGTTTCTCTGATTTGACTTTTTCTACCTTCTGTATTTGCCGGAAGCCATTTTTGGTCAAGAGCAGGAAAACATATTGGTTTCAAATTCTGCTAATGAATCACGATATATTACCAACCAATCAATCTAGAATTAAACATTTTAATCGTTTTTCATTTCATTTAGGTTGAGTGAATCGACTTATATACTAACTGTTTTGATAATCTAGCAAAGAATCTTCCCTGTAGTTTGATCAGTGAGTTTTTAACCTTTTTAGATAATTTAAATTTGAACTGTATGCAGGCATGGCCAAAACAGCTGACATTTGAAACATAATAGTCTTGAGTTGGTCTACGTGTTTCCTTTATACACTTGTTATTTCTTGTAATCTTCTGCTGTGCTACTATTTGAGTTATTTTAATCTCTATCGTTTTTGGTTCCTGTACTTGATGACTTTGGTATTCAATTACAGACGTTTTCTGCTGGGACTTCTGAAGTATGGTAAAGGGGACTGGAGAAATATCTCTCGCAATTTTGTGGTCACAAAGACCCCCACCCAAGTTGCTAGCCATGCACAGAAGTACTACATAAGGCAAAAGGTTTCTGGAGGGAAAGATAAAAGGAGACCTAGCATCCATGATATAACTACTGTTAACCTTACAGAAACTGCTGCATCAGATAAGAACAAGTCTCCGTTATTTAACGTGTCTCCCATGATTACACCTCAACAGAAACTGAATAGCATGTCAAAAGTACAGCTGGACTGGACTAGCCACTACAATGATGGATCACTCATGGTTTTCAACCCAAATTGTGATGACTTGTTTGTGTCGTCTTCATCTGATATCACTTCCATGGCCCTGAAAATGCAAGGGCAGGATCTCTATGACTGTGCTTTACATGAGGCTTATGCCAAGGTAAAAGCTCCAGGTTTCAGCATGGCTCCTAGAGACTTCAATAATGAAGCTGTTTTTGGTATTCATGCACTGTAGTGCCGACCCTGATGATGTTAAAACAACAAAAACCTCCACTACATTAGATCATTGTTCTGTAGGATTAATGTAGATGACCTGAAGCTAGCTAGTGCTTAGTTCATGGTTAGTGAACATCCTAAAAGAAAAACTACAATAATGTTTATGCTAAAAGTTGAATTTGGAATGGACTTCTTTTGAAGTTTTCCTCTTTATCTTTCTAGTCACAGTGATCGTGTCTATTTCTTTGGAGACCCAATCAGAATCATATGATGTATCGTTCAGGCATGCTATATATGTCTCAAAAGCAGCATGACAAACATCACAAATAATTGAATTCTATTGTCACACGCATATTAACCTAGGTTCATATATCAGAACCTCTCATCCTTATCCAACAAGCTTTAAATTGAACCGCATAATGACACTAGCCACAGGGTAGGCCCAAAAAATAAGATATGGTAACCTCAGTCAAAATGGGGATATTAGATATTCGAAAACTAACACCTCTAGTGCCTTTGAAAATGAAATAGTAATAATATTACGTAACCACTGCACAAAAACTTGAAGAGCTAATTCATTTGCTGATGTGGCTGTCTCATTTGAACACTTGCATTGAAACTTTGAGCAGCATCTGGTGTAAGTAACCAAGGCTTTTGTGCATTTGAGAATGAGATTTATTAACCATTTGCTTTCTGAGAGCAATAAGGCCAAGTTGACCATCTTTGATTAGCATCACTTTACTAGTCGAATCCGAGTTTGCATTCCACTTTGCTAGAATCCCATGCTTCATTGGGTCAGAATATAAATAGGCAGATTCATGTAAGCATGCTCCAATGTGGTTCACACTATCACAGTGAGCTTTTATTAATTTTGATTCTCAGCCAATCACGTTCTCCCTTTTCTTTGATATTTCTGTGCTCGCCAATCTCCTTTTCGGTGGTGGCAGCACTGTTGCGTTTGCATTGTTCCTTCTTTTGCTGGTCTATCCAATCCAAGCATCATGCTTTATTTGATTCTTTGTTTTGCTTCAGAACCCCATAGCATATTCTAGTCCCATGCACTATGCACATAATTTTGATCATACTAAAACCACTTGGTTAAAATCTATTATTCCCCCCATAATTTCAGCCTCGAGAATATGTAATTTTGATTCCATAAAAAATTAATTTATATTTAGATTTTTAATCTTAAAAAGATAAGTGATTTGATTTACAATTAATATAATTTAACTGTTAAAGAAAAGCTTAGATAACACGTGTTAAAGTTAAACCATGAATCATCAGAATTGCTTGATTTTACAAAATTAGAAGATTATATGTATACAAATCAAAATTTAACGTTCATGAAATGAAACTATGGGATTAAAAAATATTAAGACCAGGAATAAAGCAACCGACCTTGGACTTTTATTGCAGATTGGGCTCTTCAAGTTCTGGAAGGACTATATTCATTGGTCTTCAAGAGAATAAGCATATATATTTCTATTCCAGAGTTTAGATTAGAATTGTTTCTTTTGATTTTGCTCAAATACTAGTGGTACTAGCAGTTTTTAATCCAAAGTATTCTAAACTTTTCTTTTTAATAATAACATAAAGTTATACCAATAGATTCTATGTCATTTCTACTAGTGTCTGTCACTACCTTGAAGGGAATGAACATGGCATATGTACATAAAACAAGAATTAAAACATTTTTTTGAGGTAGTCATTTTACCAGAATTGATTCCTGGCAATATAAATGTAAAATAAAATAAAATTGTAAGATGCTAGTAAACAAGAATAATTTATTTTTTCATATATATATATATATATATATATATATATATATATATATATATATATATATATATATATATATATATATAAGTGTGTGTACTTTTTCACATATAAAATTAAATTATATATTTAAAAGAAACTATATTTCTGCATCTATAGTGTTCAAGCGAAAAATCACGGCTTTTTATTAAATCATTTTCGTATTCTTACGTTTGGCATTGATTTTATTTTTATTGAATATCAAATGTAATATAATAATTAATAAGTTACAAAAAAAATGATAAAAAAGTAATATTCATACTCAAAATTTTATGTTCATAATGAAATTGTGGTTGCATGCTATTGAGAAAATGTAAACAAATTCCAAAATTTGAATACGAAGAGAAAGGAAACAGTACCATAAATAAAATAGAAATAATTAATGTGTATTAAAGAATGATTAAAGTGTTATATAGATTAATAATTTTGTCACTTTTGCATCACTATATAGTAGCTATGAAATCAAGTTACAAGCACATTTTAGAATCTTGACCAATGCATGAAGCATGCTCATCCACGCCACCCTAACAATAATAACCAAAGTGAAAACTAAAAACACTCGAATAAAAATCAGTGTTAATAAATTTACGGTCTAATATTCATCGGATCTTATAAAAACTTTGTGAAGTAAAGGGTGGTATAAAAAATATTTTTAACGGCTTTACGAACAGTTTGAAGAAGAAGAAAAAAATAAACAGTTTGAAGAAAAATTAAATTTAAAGTAAGAAGCATTAAATTATAATTTACATTAATCCATATGCACGAGTTGATTATATGTTATTCGAAAGTAACTACAGTTTATTTTTAAACGAGTAAGACGCATAACATTATAATGTAAATATCAAGTATTGTGTAAGAAAATAAAATATATAGACAAGATTGACATAACATTTGTACTAATGTCAAGTTGTATATATTCAAGCGTTTGACATCTAAAACCGAATAAATATAGTTTGAAGAAGATAAGTCCCACCCAGAAAATTTTAAAATAATACTGTAACTGTTTAAGGACCCAAAATAATTTAAAACTTGCAAAGCTTTGTAGAATGATGTGTTTTATATAATCTACCGACACGCATCATGCATATGTCATAATCCATAAAACTTTTGATGGAAAATGCAGCATTATTAAACTCTAATAATTATTTGGAGTTTTGTGAGTGGTGAAATGAAAGGTTATATCATATTAACCATCCCTACCAATTAACTCAACACAAAATCTATGAACTTTATATTACCCACCATCTCTGCTATTGGTCACATCATGGTAAGATAATCGTACTACTTTGGCATCTTTATTTTTTGCATTCCATTTTAATCTCTAAAAAAAAGTTTGGGACAATTTCTGTACCAACTTTTTTGGACCATTCTCTGCAATGACAAAGGAACCTGTCACTGTGGAGAAAGATTGGTCCACTGTACTCTGATTGTAACCATGGATCCTTATCGAACACTCTTTCTGTCCTCAAATTTCTCAATGGAACAATACTTCTCTCTCTCTCTCTCTCTCTCTCTCTCTCTCTCTCTCTCTCTCTCTCTCTCATATATATATACTATATATATATATATATATACCCAGTAATTCTATCTCTCTCTATTTATATATTTTATTTGTAAAATGAAAATAGTTTAGCATTTTTATGAAAACAGTTTACAATTTCTATAATTTTGGCTTACTTTAGTAAATATTTGTCAAATTTAGGACGTAAATTCTTATGTGATAAAAAAATATTCAATAACTGTTTAATGATAATTTGAACAAGGTGGCAAAATATGTAATTAATTAGTTGAATCAAAGTTATTAGTTGCTATAGAATTAGTTAATTCTGTTTAGTGAAATATTTCAAACTTATTCAAACTAAAAGATGAAGAATCAGAGTGTATAACAAAAATGAATCATAAATATTTCATACAATATTTTTTTTATCATCATTATTTCAAACACATTCAATCATAATCAGCTTTGACATAAATATTATGAGCTTCCCGTATAACCTAATTGCAATTTACATGATAAATAATTTTTGTTTGGATGAAAGTCACTCAAATATTGTAAGAAGATTAGTGGATCAAATATAATATATATATATATATATATATATATATATATATATATATATATTGTTGATTAAATCAACTTTTAAATTTTAGCATAATTTAAATATATTATTATCTTATCTAAAAACTTGATGAGTATTAAAAGTATTTTTTTACAACTAAAAATATAAAGGAAATTATTTTCAATGTTATTGAGGTGGAATTTGAAAATTTGATTCATCCATCATCTCCTATCGGTGCCTCTCTAACAAAATAATAACATAAACCTTCTTCAAAGCAAATTTTTCAACAAATAGTGTTTGTGTGAATTTCACTTAACAAAATATATCCAAAACTCAATTTATTTTAAAATCGTTGCCGATGTCACTCCAATACAATCATAAGTTGTCATTTTACGATGGAATGTTCATTTGTACAAGTATATATTTTTGGTTAACAATTTGTATTAGCGTGTATAATTAATAAACTAAACGTAATTAATGTAATTTCATTATCCTATTTCATATCACATATTAGATAACTGTGGAATGAAAAACTATTCAAATTACAAAATCATTTTTGTTTTTTGGTTTCGCTCAGGATATCCAGAGAAAGATTTAGGGGGGCAAGGGGCACTACGTGGCAAAATTTGGTCCGTCACCACTCAACAAATTAATCCAACTCGGGGGGAAATCTCAACCAAAGCCAACCATTAATGCACAAGTGGGTTGAGTTGATGTGTGGATTCTCTCCTACTAAATTTTATATAGGAGAGTAGGACTTGCTTACAGACATTATAAAGATATATAGATATTATAATATTATTAATATTATATACCATATATATTATTATCCATCAATGTGATAGGATTTGATCAATTTTTAATTTTATAAATTTATATCATTTTTATTAATATTATCTTCTGTATAGTATTATAATATTAAAAAAATTAAAATAATAACATTTTATTAAAACCTATCTTAATTCATTCTTTGAATGTTCAATAACTGGTTCGATTGTGATAAGGTTGTTTTTCTTTCGCATTGAGATTAGAGAATTTGGTTATTAATACGTCTCTTAATTTTGTTTCTCTTTTGGATTGTGAGATTGTTGTTGTTAGTTTTGTTTCATTGTCATTGTATTATCATACTGCATAAATCAAATCTGAACTCTTCTGTCCCTGAAAAACGTCTTTGTTGCATGTTAAGGAGTAAGGAATGATTCAAATGAAGTAGTAAAAAACACATGTAAAGAGAATGGAAAGACTGATTTCTAAACTTAAAACTAAATTTGAATCTCACTTGAGAGGACGTGAGAAAACTTGAGTAAAATTACAAATTGGAACAAAGAAGAAATATACGAAACGTAGAGAAAGTAACAAATAGAAACAACCCCATGCTTTTTTATATTCACAAAATTGAGCATGCATCTCCAGTACAAAGGAAAACTACCTTCTGCAAGAGTTTGTAGGAAGCAAAGAACACGAGCTTATTACAAGACTATTGTCTAGGAATTACAGAGAAAATTGAAACCCTCTAAACTAAAACACTGCCATCTCTTGCAAAGTACAAACAAGATTTGAAGGGGGGAAAAAACTGGGAAAGAAAAAGAAAAAAAGTGGTATTTACAACTTTACGTGTCAACATATGTTGCAAGATCCAAAGGTATAACAGTATCTGGAAAATCTGTCCTTGGGCCAGCGAGGGAGTAATATGCAAGAATATGTGCCGGATGCTCGACAACTACAGGCTCTTCCGGTTGATTGTTCACAACCACGCGTCTAGAAGGAATCAACTCAATGTTCCAATAGGGGCGAGCCATTGCCAAAAGATCACGCCCAGAAGGAGATGCTCCATACCCTTGGACCCATAGGTACCTAAGAGAAGTTAGTTGAGTTGCAGCAACAGCTAGTGCATACTCACTAAAAAAGGAGCATCCCCTCATTTCAAGTTTCTGAAGACTGGGGCAGCCCCTAGAGAATTCCAAAAGCCCTTCATCAGTCTCTCCCACATACCCAAGAAGCATCCATCTCACGTTGGGGCTGTATTGTCCTATGTAACCCAGTCCCACATCGGTCAAGCCCCCAGGTCTCAGATACAGAGCAAATCTTCTGAGCTTGTCACAACCCCTCAGTAAAGCTCTCACTCCATTGTCAAGTGGCAAATCAGTTATTTTCTCTTCACGGTCTAGCAAGACAAGGCGAAAATCACAAAGGTTTTTTAAATGAGTACCAATGTGTTCTAGAGATGCATTTGTAATGTCGGATACATAAACGGCCATATATTCAAGCTCTGGACAGCCATGTGACAAAGCAATTAGCCCTCTCTGGGAAACAACACCTTCTTCATCTTCCATTCCTTGATCATCATCACCTCTTTCAATTCGAAGCCTTTTAAGCTTCCTACAACAACGAGCAAGCACTTCTAATCCTCTGTCTCCAATTACGTTCCTTGACTGCCCATATGGAAAAGTTTTAATTGACTGTCAATATTCAAATGTCGCAAGTATAACGAGAGAATGTTCTGGAAACTTACCTCAAGTACCTCCAAGTTGGGGCACCTTTGGATTAACGTACAATGGTCCTCTGTATCCAGCATTGCATACAAAAGATCCAATTTTTTCAGTAAGGCTGCATAAGGGAACACTATGGGCATTTCATTCTTTGTAATATATGTCAAACCCAGACGACTTAATTTTGCTGGCAATGATATAGCAGCGTACTTCTCTGATTCCTCATTGTAGGAACCTCCACAAAATTCTTCTAGGGCAGATGCACATCGAAAGAAGTTTAACAAATCCAATATTTCACAATCAGTAATTTTCACCGAGTTTAAGTTGGGGCAATTTCTGGCTATAAGTTCAAGGTCCTGGATTCGGACATTGGCAATATCAGTGAGATAAAAATTTAGTGTTTCAAGAACTGTATTATTCAAAGCAAGCTGATGGAGCCAGTCACCATCATTCTCAACAAGTGAGCTTTCCTCTAAAAACAAGATTCTCAAATTCCTGCCAAAAAGAAAATTTCCCTGTCTGAGCCACAAAAGTTTATAATAACAGGCATAAGTTCCACACTTGAAAAATCTTTGTCTAGCCACAAGTGACCCTTCCTCCTGAAAGAATACCCTTAGTTTGAATGACTAAATCAATGGATAAAACAGAAGTGAAATGAACGACTAAGGTTTTGAAAACGCCGCAATCTCCCCAAAAACTCCATTCTAAAAGTAAGAATATTAAATCCTCTTGCAACACTTTCTAAATAATGTCTATTGCATGAAAAAGGTATTAGCATTTTGTTTTATGTTGAACGGTTTAGTTAGTCATTACTCTAAAAGCAATACTTGAAGAATTAAAAGTGAATTTTTTTATAAAAGTCTAAAAATTATGTTAATAATACAATAGTTTCCAATAGCAAAATTATATTTCAATAATCTACATTTTCAATATACTGAATGTATATTTTTATTTATTTAAGACCTCTAAATTTTATAGAGATAAAAAGAGAGAAAAAATTGTTTTGTTAAAGAAATATTCATTATATTAGAAAAAAATGAAATAATTAATTTCCTTTCTTTCTCAATAAAGTATTTCTATTTTTATATTCTTTACATGAATGCTTAGCAAAACCAAAGCATCAGGTAATATATAAAATAACTATTGATAGGAAAATATTGTAACATAATGTTTTTATATTGATAATTGAGGTAAAATCACCCAAAAAAAAAACTAATTACAATAAAAGAGAATCACAACCTAAATAATGCAATTATGAGTGCAAAAAGAGTATAATTAAACACAACTTGGCAAATGATGCAAGTGCTTGGTTGTAAAATCAGAATAAACAAGTTACAAACACAATTGAAGTATTATAATTAGATGTGAAAAAAAAAAAAAAACACTTTTCATTTAATAGGGATTAGAAGTTGAAATATACGTCAAGAAACTTAGGCGTGTTATGTCCATAATAGAAGGAAGAAAGAACACAAGTTGAAATCTATTTTACATTATTGTAGTCCATAATAGAAGGAAGAAAGAACACAAGTTGAAATCTATTTTACATTATTGTAGTTACGGGTTCAAAGCACTTCCGCAATTATCTTCTTCAAAAGTTAAAGTAATTCTATCTTCTTCTTGTTCTTTTTTCATTTTTTGTTATTATAAGAATTCCATCTTCTTTAAAGGAACTCCAGAGTATTAAATGAGCCAATTCATTTCATGTTCAATAAAAGATGGACCAACTCTCAAAGCTCCTCGTCAACATCAAATAATAAATTAAAATGGCACATAACATCTTATGGAAAAAGGACAGGGAGAACAAAAGCTTATTTCTAAACAATAACAATATATGAACTGCTGTATAAGTTAGAGGATTCGCAAAATCAATTAAAAGACCCGGCGTGCCATTACATAAAGCATTAAAAAAATTATAAAACCAAAACAGATATATTATCTCACGTATTAAAATACCTGATGTTACCAATTAAAACATTGTTCATTTTGGTACACAACTTACTTATGTCATTATTCTTGTTCTTTGCTCATAAGTTGAATATTGAGTTTCTTAAATATGCTAAATAGAATTGATAAACTTCTTCCTGAGTTTTACAGAGTTTAATTTCTATTTACAGTCTAAAATACAGACAACCAATTAGAAATTTATCAACCAATTAAAAATAATCATTAATATGATTTTAAATATATAAAATAATCAACAAATTTACTATATATAGAAATTTATGTTTGAATGGCATATGCTCTACGATGGTTGGTATGATTTTAATCAACAATCTTTCCATATATAGAAACTTATGATAGAATTACAAGATTTTCAAGTAGTTGTCCTAAAAAAACATCAAAATTACCAATATTTATTCATTTTTATTGTTTCCATGAATCCAAGAAACATGATAAATAGAGTAAGCAGAGCTAAAGGTTATAAGTTGTAGTGTCTAGAATAAGTATTTACTTAAGTTCAAAAGTTTTTTTTTTTTTAGAGCACTATACAAACTCAGCAAACAATAAATGAAAACACAAGCGTGAAACCGTTCCACGAATCACAAGCTGGAACAATCCTGATTTTGGTAACAATAACATAAAAATAATGGCAAAAAAAAGAATCAGATAAAACAGAACTAGTTCGTCTAATATTTCCAAGATAAGCAGAGAAACTCAGTAAAGAAGACAGTAAAATAACCTGCAAAAGCGACCGATAAAATAAAGGCCATCGGTGGAGAATCCAGAGCACTTATCGAGCTTGAGCGCCTGAAGTATGTGACCGCGCGAGCGAGCAAGAACCTGAAGATCGGAATCCGTCACAATCATGCGGCGAAAGTGAAGCGACTTCAAACAATCGAAGTAATGAGAGATCTCCTTAACCCACGGCGTCACGAAACCTCCCCAATCCTCCGGTATGAGGTTGAACATCGCCGCCCGGGGCTTCCCCTTCAGCTTCAGCGACTCTAGGTGCGGGAAACGCCTCCGGAGCCGGTCCGGCGTGGTGGTGTAGCAGAGCGCAATCGTGACGTGCTTCCGCGTGAGAGAGTCGAGCTCATACCACCGGCGACACACCTGCGACACGGCGTCCCGGTCCTTGGGGTCGTGGATGTACGGCATCACGCAGTCCAGTACCACATCAGATAACTTAGTGGCCGTCGCCATCCGCCTCGTATCCCGATCCTCCATAACCGCCGCCTCTCCTATTCAATAGATCTTGAATTCTCGGATCGGTCAGGTTCAGGTTCAGAAAAGAACCGCGCACGGATTGCACGACACGTGCGGAAAGCGGCGCCGCCAAAGAGGTATGAAAGGAGGAATAAGAAGGGAGGAAGATTCTGCGCGCGATGAACGATGAAGCTATGAGGATTCAGGAGTTTTGCACTGAGAACGAGCCAATTGCATCGGAACCGTACCGCCAAACCGGCCAATCGGAGAGGATGAAAGAAAGAGGTTAAGGGGAAGACATAGTGGAAGGGTGAGTGAAGGGACGGTATAGATTGCTTGGATGTGGTAATATCGGACGGTGACAGTTGGAACAGTTTGTGCGAAGGAGATTGGATCGGACCCTTGTAGTAAAATACGAGAAGAAAGAAAAAGAAAACAAAAAGTAGGGGTCAGAATTTTAGTAATTATTATTATTGTTGTTATTCCTTATGTAACCGGATGAAGCAGAGTGGAGAGGCTGAGTGAGTGAGCAAGGTAGAAACTAGAAATCCCCCTAAACGACAAAACTTCCTTCTCTCACTTCCAATAATGTAAAACCAAATGCTTCACTATTTTACAATTTTCTTTCTTTTCTTACGAATATTTTTGTTTTATTTATTTTAAATTTTGCGCCTTTAAATAAGTTTACTTGTAAGAAACATTATAAAATAAATGTTGGAGTCACGATAAAATTGAAAACTAACTCATTTTCGACAAAATCATTATCTCATGGAAAGAACATACTTAGTTAGTCAAGAATCGTTTTCATTATAAATTAAAAATAACTTCCATTGACATTTCCGTGTGTCATACGAGTTTTGATGGACACTTTCTTGTGCTAACTAGTAATTATATTTAAAAAATATTATATATATATATATATATAATTTTTAATTGAAAATAATGAAAACTGATATTATTAGATAAAAAAAATGATTTTATAAAATGTAAAAAAAGAAAAAAAAATCTTGTGTCATATTCTTGTCCGTTGTGAAAAAACGAGTATCATATCGCGGAGAAATTCTTAAAAATTTGTCATGTACAACATATCGGAGCAAACATGCATTCCCCACCACATTAGTTATTGCTGGAAGCATCATCTCTTTCTGGCCCCGTCTATCATCATTTCAAACTATAAGGATTGATGCAAAACCATTTCCAGAATTGTGAAGGCATACAAAACACAAAAACCATCTCTCTAGTTCTTCTTTGATGAAATACAATAAATGCTTCTTCTTTTTCTATTATTTCTTTCAAAACATAAACATAAATAACAAATCAAACAAACATGGTTACGATGGAATAAAACAATAAAATTATCGACAGATATGATTTGGAAACATATTTTGTTATAATATTTTAGGATTTAAATTAGGTTTTCTCATGAATAATGTTAAAAAATAATTGAAAATGAAATGTTACTATAGGTCTGTTTATTTGATTTTTTTAGCTAAAATAATTATAATTTTTACACATAAATGGAAACATGTTTCAGGATTGAATGAAAATTAAACCCAAATGTTAGAATGGATTCTATCATTACATAATTTTTTTACTTAACTCATTCATCTCTATTGATGCAAAGTTTCATCCATTACTCAAAACTTAAATTTTTAACACACCTTGAAATGATTCTAAGAATAAGTGTACTTCTTCCTTCAACCATCTACACTTTCTGTGGGTATAAACTTTAGAATCCTTGATAAAATGTATCATGCAAAGTTATTTGAGAAGGATTTGGCTTGGAGTTCAAGCAATCCGATTTTTTCTTAAAAAATAAGTTATGGCGAATGGTTAATTAATGTAAATAGTGTATTATTCCACTCTCATCGTGATAAAGTCCTAGTTGTAATCCAATAATATTCCTTATTCTTAAAAAAAAAAAGGAACAGTATAGAATTTAAGAAAAGTAACGAAAATTACAAAACGGGGAAAGGCAACATAAATAAATGCATCTATTTACAATGGAGATTTGACAATAACATACATTGATTCCAGATTGAATTAATGAAAAATTCTGGATCAACTTATTTTTCACCTCCATGAATGTCAACCACTTATGCATACTTTTATTTCATTAAGATATTATAATAAAATTTAAAATTTAAAAAAAAATGGATGGTAGAGATTAGCTACACACTTGGGTTTATTTTTCCGAGACAGAGATCAGTATACTTCAATTTTTAAAAGAAAGGTACTAAATTTATTTTTATTATTAACGACTTCTAAAATTATTTTCTCACTATCTATTAATAAAAAAACACATATATTTGTAATATTTAATCAAAACAAACAAAAATATCATAACAACTATAAATTTCCTATAAAAAATAATCATTTTTCTTTTGAAATTCGTTATATATTAAATATTAGAACAATTAAAACAAAACCCATATAAAAAGCAAGCTTCTTGGTCAAACCAATTTATTATACAACATATTTTGTTATTTAATGTAAATTTGCTGACAAAAAGTTTTACACTAATTGTTTTTGGTTATATGCTTATAATTAAATTAATTGAACCTAGATTTTATTTTTATTTGAGGAAGAATCCCCAAGTTTTATTTTTTTATCTTACCTTTCTACTAAAATTTTGGTAAAAATTGGAAGAGAAAAAATCACGTTGATGATCCATAGCATGAATACGTGATTTTGAAAAGAAAAAGACGCATGCAATATCAGAATGTTTCTTGGAGATGGCTATGGCATTTTCAACTTCATTAAACACAACATTATATTGGCTTATTGTTTTAGATTATAATAATTATCCTCGTGAATTTGGAGTTTATTGATAATTTATATACTTTTCTCACTTAATTTAAGATTTTTTTAAAATAAATAAAATTAACGAATAAAATTTTTAAAATAGACAATATTTTAAATATAAAATTTAATCATGATAATTTTATTATAACGAAAACTAATCTTTACACGTAATTAAAAATTATTCATGATTTTAATTGAAAACTCTTATATATATATATATATATATATATATATATATATATATGTATATATATATATATATATATGTATATAACATAAAATTTATTGAGAATGAAATGGTCCAAGATTATATAATACTTTTTGTTTGTATATACATAATATTTTATTGACTTTCATTACGACGAATGCATTTATTCAGAAAAACGGATGTCGTTCAAACGAGAGACATAGGATCTGATTAAATTGGTAGATTTAAGTAATATGGTGAAATGACGCATGAGCTTAAATATAGCTAAAATAACTATTTTTATGTGAATTAAAAAATCTAATTAACGTTATTTAATTATATATATAAGTTTATATCACAAATAAAAATGAATCACTAAAAATATAATTATTATTAAATAGGGAGTAATTTTTTAAAATATTATTAACTAATATGAAATTAGTTTAATTCTTTTTATATTTAATTTTAGTATATAGGAATTTATTTTAAAATATGGTAACTTTGTTTGGTGCTTGTGAAAGACATATTAAACTTTCTCACTGATTCTTCTCTTCCATTGAAAGGCATATTATTGGCATCCCAAATTTTTTTCACCGTTATCCTTGATTCTTGGCTTATAGAAAACGCTTATTTACCATCCGATAACAAGTTATTAAGCGTTTTTTTAGGAGATGTATTTGAAATCTTACATGCACTATTAGAAATATAATATTAATATATAAACGAATACCAACTACATCCAATCTTATACCTCATGAGTCAATTGTTCAATTAAATTAAACTTAAATTCTGCTTTCAAATAAAACATAACGAAATGCACATATGATCATGTAATAGTCTGTTTGAAACCGATACTCTCAATTTAGATCCGAAAGCAAGGATTTTATTTGAAAAGTAAGCACGCTTCCTTCAACCCTAATTTAGATGATGCGATGCGATGGTTTTCCCTCAGTCAAACGAACAATGCTCCATTCACCAACATATTCATTCAAATTATTTTCGAATTTTCAACCCAACTATTCTACGTACGATATTAATGTTCCAATTTTAAGATATACCGGTGATTAAAAACAAGTATTTATAAATTATTTTCGACGCAAACTTCTAAATTGTATACACTTTTTAACATAACTGAATATTTTGAATGATGTTACTTCAATTGTGTTAAAGTTTCTGATTGACACCGGTAAAGTCTACTTTATGAACACCATTTATTGTTTGATTCTGAACTAAAGTAATCTTTTAATTGGTGCAGTAGTTGTTCCTTGGGTCCACCATAGAACCCATCGATTTGTCAATAAGATTTTTCAGGACTCTATATTACTCATGATTAATCATCATTAGTCCAAATATTTGATGAAATCACAACGGACTATTTGGCATTTCATGAGAAAGAAAGATTCCATTATATGTAGAATTTGAGAAAGAATACTAAATTTAAGTTTGGATATTTTAATATAAAATGAACTAAAATTATTACATTAATTACATGAATATTCTACAACTGAGTTGCCATGAAAGTTCTATCATAGTTATCTGAAAATTTGATAAAATTATATATAAAGCTATACATTTATTAAAAGATTTCCTCTACATCCTCAAATCAAGGGTACTATAATGAGATGAATATATTTTACAAATGCTTGCATACAAATTCACACAAGCAAAAGCAAAAGTAAAAAAGTAATCACATATTTCTTATACTTTTCTTCATTCTTAGTTGTAAAGCTAAATAATTATACAAAACAAAACATAAATGAAGTAACAATATTTTAAATATCTCAAAAATTTAATAAAAAGTAATGATTTAATATTATTTTCATTCAATTAACGAAGTGCCAAAAAATATACTAAATAAAAACATGTAAAATATAATAAAATTAAGACAATTATTTAGAAAAAAAAATGTATGTATTAAAGAAATAAATGAGATGCCACCACTGTTGTCAATCTTGCAAATATATATTTTAAATACAAAATCATGTCACTTGCATTAGAGTAGTTTAATTAAAAAATAAAATTGAAATGTTATAACTTCTGCATGCCTTGACGTCATGCCTTGTCTACGACGGGCTGTCGTGGGCCCAAGCATGGGCCCATTCCTAATCGATTTGCGACTTAGTTGGGCTAATAAATTATGCTACGAAACATATATAACGTTGGAGAATCTATGGTTTCACTGTCTCAAGGCGAAATTGTCAAATTTTATCACTTATTTTGTTTTGTCCATGTATTCAAATAAAAGTTATTTGGAGAATCTATCGCTTCATCTGACTTTTAGGAACTTACATCTCAAATTCTACATATAATATTAGTTACTAGATTTGATGTACTATTCAAATCTTGCATGATTAATTAGTCATATTGTATTCTCGTATTCGTAATCGGGGCTTATTTAAATTAACCCTAAGATATTTAACAAAAGTAATATGGTTTTGTTTTATATATATTTCTCTCTTTAGAGTAAGACTTGTTCTTGCTTATGTAGGAGATTATTTTGCTATTATATCATAATAGACCAGTATAAAATATGCACTCAAAGTAAGATTATTCATTCAATCTCAAAACTTTATGCATTTGTGATAATTATTTAATTTATTACTTCCTTCCTTCCTTTAAATAATGTAATGAAAAGAAATATGATAAAATTAAAATATATAAATACTAATAACAAAATATTATTATTTCAAATTTTAAAATTTCTTTACCATATCATTACATATTTAACATATGAATAAAATATATAAATATTAGAAAACATGATAATAAAAATCGTAAAATAAGAATTGCTAAAAATTAAAAATATATAAATTTTTTTTATTTTTGTTTTCATTTGGTGAAATTTTAGAGATGATGTTGATATAATATTTCAAGAATTTTTTTTTAAGATTATATACAAAAATAAAAAATAAAATAATAATAATAATAATAATAATAATAATAAAAAGATAATTTGAGATTGAATTACTTTTTTTTTTTTTGAAAGCATAATATTTTGGAATGCAATTCTAGGAGTAACAAAAGGAAAATGCAATTTTGAGAGGAACAACATGCGACGATATAGTTCAATCTCCAACGCTTTCAGCATAACTCATTTTGGCACATTCATTGGAAACGAGAGAGAGACTAGACAAACCTCCTTTTTCCACAACCACAGTGTGCAATTTGGCTCCATCCAACACCATTCATACACACTTTATATCTCTCCCCAATACTAGACCCATATACAAATCACAAAATCAAAAGGACTTATCAAAATTATTTCTCAAGGCACACAGTATTAGAATAAGAGACTTTTTGTCTTGTTTTTTTTTTTTGAGGAAAAAACAAAAAATAGAGAAAATAGTAGGGAAGAGAAATCTGTGGTCTCTGCGAGTCGCATCAACCACCGTTTAGCCCATCTAAGCGTAACCAAACTCAAGGCTAATAGTAATCACAATATTGTGGGCGTTGTTGTACCCTTCATTTTACTTTCTCTCTTCCAATAATTAATCTGTATTACGTATTTGAGATCACTGGTCAATCCCAGTGTGTCATGCAGATAGTTTACTTCAGCAACGTCCAACATTCCCATCTTCTTCTGGAGTTTTTGAAAAGCCACAAGTTTTAAGGCTTTAGTCATTAAATCTGTAACATGCTCGAGTTCTGCAATGCACCAACTTTACTTCTCCATCTTTTGCAATATGTCTTAAAAATATGAAAATGCCTGATACGTTTATTCCTTCCACGCATTACTGGATTTTCTGAAAGCTTAATAGTTGAACTTTTCTCACAAATAATAGTTGTGCTACCTTCTTGAACAATTTGTACATTTTCTCAAAATTATTCTCGTGAAGACAGCTTGACAGCAAAAGCGACAAATTATGCTCCAGTGGTTGGTAAAGCAACAATTGGTTGCTTCTTGAACATCCATGATGGATATCATGAACTCATCAAATATACATAATTGGTATTTTAGAGTCTTCCTCTTCTCCTGTATAATCTGAATTTGTGAAAGCAAGCCAGTGTTTTTTTTTCCTCCCTTCTTATGGAAAATCCCATAGCTTGCAGTACCTGTTAAGAACCTTAATATTCTCTTACTAACATGCAAATGTAATTCAGTTGGTTTTGACATATACTGCTAATTAGTCTTAAATAAATGTCACTCTCAGCTATATGCTACCATCAACATTTTTGTTAATCTTAAAACATGGTACCATTGAACTTTTCACATGTCTCGTCTAAGACATTGCAAACCTTTTGAAGATATCAGTGACAAACCTTCTTTGCCACACAAGTATTCCTTTAGGTTTTCGCAAAACCTCAAATGCCAAGGAACAACCTCAAGCATCATGCACTTGTCGCATCACTAGTGTAAATCAAATTGTCAACATAAATGCTAACAATTAATATGTTTCATTCAGTACCTCTCTTGATAAACAATGTTCGTTCATTTGTAGATTTTTTTAAATCCTTCCTTCACAAAATGATACTCAATAAAATTTAATTGGACGTGAGAAGGTAGAAATAACTCTCGAATGTATATTTTTATTATTATGTATTAATTTGAGCTTTGGAACTATTTGTTGAATATGGGAAAAGGGTGTTTCCATTATAAAAAAATGGATCTGCAATATTTATCATCTAAACAAAGATTTGATGGTTTATCTTTTATACATACTAGAGTTTCATTCAAATACCTCAACCCCACTTTAAGCCTTCCAATGAGTTCCACCATAATCCTCCATAAACCTATAAACAAGGATCAAGTAGAAGACATAAGAAACACACAGGTTTAATTTGTTTCTTTTAAATTTTATAATCTACATAATGAACGATAAAAATTGTAAGTAGTTCACATAAGGTGTTGACTATAGTAAGACAACAGTGATGTCATCATGTTAGCAAGATAAAAATATGAAGTTCCTCCAAAAATAATTCTAACAAATTTTTCATTCATTTTTTTCTTAATATAATATCTTTCTGCTATATATGTACTCAACAAGTTTGATCAACCATCAAAACATATTATGAATATAAGCATTTCATTTTCATCCATGGAAAAAGAAAAAGCGTGGAACTACTTAGGTTGAGGCAAATAGGTCAGACAGGTAATGACCAAGAGTGGTCCTCCACGCAGAGGACACCTAATTCCATCATACACTCAACACTGTGTTGCATTGCAATGTACTGTCTATTAACCTGATTCAGACATTTTAACTTGTTCCCGTGCGTATCCAAATTCTGGTGGAAAAAAGTCTTTGTTTGGGGGGTCTACCATTCTTTTGTCCACTTATGTCCACTGGTACAGTTTTGGTGGTGAAACATCATTTCCTTCAAGATTAGAGATAAATGAAGGATTATGATGTTCTTGCCCTTTCTCATGAAATTTCCCGACAGATAGCTGGGAGCATTATTACTTTGGCTGTCTCCTCACATGCAGAGGGTGACCACCATATCCTCTGTTGCAAAAACCTTGTGAACCTAGATGCTTCATCTTTTGTCTCCTTAACTTCTTTTCTCACATTTATATATCATCCTACTTTCACTAGTGCAGAATAGGGCTTTTACGTCACCCAATTGTCGTCGCATGCATGTATATTCGACGTAAATAAAACGCGGTGACGATTTTGTAAATATGGGACAAAAATTTTACGTCGCACATCCCAGGTATGCGACGTAAAAATCCTCTTTAC